TATCTGGCCATCAGCATCAGACTGCCCTCATTTGCACCATTGATGCATACTTTGTTAAAAATAGTATATAACACTTTGTTTAAAATAGCACAAAGCAACCCCCCTCCACACACATACACTGTTCTTCACATAATAAAAAAAAACCTTTAAGTTGTAAATAAATATCAAGAGCTTTTTTTTATATAAAGTTTTGTTTATATGATGTACCTCATTTTTATTTAACTTTCCTTGAAAAGAGCTTCGATAGATCAAATTCACCAGGAAAGAAGTGGGCAACCAATTTAATGCCTTAATTATAGTCCCGAATTATGAGGAACTGTTTTGCCGGGAGCATGTCCTATTTAACCGCAAATCCCAAATTTAAGTTGCTTATGGGCGCATATGAAGCACACTTAAAGGTCTTCTTTGGGGTACCAGCCTGTATGCCTAGTGTTTTATGTTTTTGATTGATGGAGCCACACCTATTTCTTTTTGTTTTGTTTTTTTAAATACTTAGTATCAAGCAACCTACCTGCAAAGCAATTTATTTTCGGTTATCTTTTTCTAAAAGAAAATAATTTTAAACTACACTTGGGATCGGAGTGGATCTGGGAACACAGAATAATGGTAATTAACCCAAAAAATGGAACAGTATAAATTAACAGTATAGGAGTGCCATCAGAAGTATCAAAATTAGCCTAACACAAATAAAAGGGTGTGCAAGGAAGTATCCTTCTTACCATCTTGTCTTGAATTGTAATTGTAATGTCTTCCTTATATTGTAAAGCGCTGTGCAAACTGTTGGCGCTATATAAATCCTGTATAATAATAACAATATTAATATAATAAGTATATGTGGATCATCAGAATATAGGGTAACAATGGTAAACAAAGAAAACCTGTACTGTTGGGAATATGACCTCGCTGACCTCGCTGACCTCTCCTGAAAATGCTAATTGCCTCGCCGTCATGCTGATCTAATGGCTTAAATAACCGATTAATTTAATAAAGCAGGCCATACACATTTATTTTTTCTTGGTCAGCCCATTGGCTGAACGAGAGAAAACTGCTTTACTGTAACTTTCCTGAGCTGACAACCAGTTAGAATGTACAGAAGGAGGACACCCATTAATTTCCATTAATCTTTCAGAACTGGTATAGCAATGCCAACAACTAAATACGAGAAGGCTCATATCTGAAATGAACCATGCTAAGAGATAGTTCTGGCAGGGGGCCACATAAAAACAAATTTCTCTAGTCAGCATGGAAAATAATTGCAATAATAATGGTATGAAATAAAAATGCCTTAAAGCTGTATAATAACTCATTTGTAGCTCATGAAATGTCCTGATTGCCATTTCTACCCTACCTATTGTTAAATCGCCACTGTTTAGGAGGACCCTATTACTAAATGCATTTACATCTATGCATGCATGTTACTACAAAACATGGTCCATGCACCAAAATATGCACATGGCCCTACACTTTTCATTGTACCACAATACAGTGCAGGTCTCAACTGGAGTATGTATTTGGTTGGTTTGGCTTGGTGCAAGGATTAAATGCATTGTTCATGTTGGAAACCACTGGAAATGAATGGGTGCATCTACAGAATGCATGCACAAGGAGTTCATGCATGATGACATACATGTGTTGGAGTCTAAAAAGATACATGCCCTAAGAGGAAAATGTGGGTTGCTATTGCTTACTTTCTGAGAATGCTACTTGCCTGGCTGTCTCTGGAGCATTTAATACTCTGAGTCACTGACCTGGAAAAAGTATGCAGCAGAGTTGGTGACAGTGGAGTCAGAACTTCTGATCTGCATGTTGCTCATAGTCAGTATGTCAGAAAGTACTAATGACAGTGGATCAGCATGACATGTCAGCCATCTAGCATTTTTAGAAGGAACCTTCAGAAATGACAGCCTACAGGTACAGGTTTCAGTTCTTCAACACAGCTAAGCTCATTGTTACTGTTTGTCAATATGTGTAAAATTGGCATTAATTAGTTGCTCTATACTTACAGTTACTTAACAACAAGATTAAACAATCATTTTAGAGGGATTTAAATCAGAAACAGGTAAACACATATTTGTTTTTGTCTAACTAATAGGATATAATTAGCAGATCTTCCATTGTGGGGTAAAAATTAATCATCCCCATTATCAGTGGGGACACAATAGGACAATCTGCCATCTGCAGGGAAGGACACTGGGCTCTGTACCTGGCCAGCCTTGCCTCCTCTCATCACTTCGCATGTGCAAGCTCCCTTGTGTTCATTGCTATTGTGCAGAAACAACACACTGGCTGCCTTTGAGTAATGATAGAGGAGAGGCTTCCTGGAGACAGAGGCTTGGGCTGTTCTGCCAGGGGATATACACCCACTTCCATTTCACCAATTATAGAGGACACGGTTAATATGCATGGTCTGGCCCCACAGCCTACCTGTGAAGCATCCAATATTCCAATATGACGTCTCACAGCATGTACATCCCTCTCCTCCACTGCCAATCAGAGAAGGAGGCAAATATTTACTCATAGCCAAGTCACAGCCCCCTGCCCCCTGATGACCCAATAAAAAATAATGGGCAACATTATTTAGCATAGAGGAGCGGGGCTCCTAAAATACCATCTGATCTGGGTGTAAAATACTCTTGGTACGCAACTGCTGGTGTGCTTGCCACTCATACTGCCAATGAGCTTTCGCACGTTTCATCAAGGAACCCTAAAAACACAGGCACCATCCATTGTCATTACACTAACCTGAAGGCAATAACTATACCATTAGACTAAGAACCCCTCCACTAAAGCTGCACATTGCAGATAATGCGGAGAAGCCTAAATCATATGTGAGGCAAACTGCTTATTTAGAAAAAAAATAAAAAATCTTAGTATGTACAGGCAGGCTATCTGCCTGTCTGCCGAAAATCACACAACTTGTGGATAACAATTGTCTGGATCAGAAAGATCGATATGCACATATTTAGGAAAATAAAATATTAGCAAATTGCAGATTTTCCTGATTCAATCATTACCAATCAAAAAAGAGAACCCCAGCTCATCCACTTAAAGTTATGAAAGAGCTCTACCACATTTCTGGGGCCCTAATTTTGCTTCCTTAGGCCCCATTCACACCAGGGTGGTTTGGTTGCGCGGATTTGTCCTCGCTGAACCGCCGACATGAACAATCCCATACATTCCTATGGGGGACCGTTCATGCAATCGTGCACCTCTGCACAATCCGAACCACCTGCTGCCCAAAATGCCCCCTGAGCTATTTTTTTACGATGATCAGCACATTTTCCATATAGATTGCAATGGAAATGCACTGATCAGCATTTTTGAGCGTTTTTAATTGCGTTTCAGCTCTGAAACCTGATTAAAAACATCCAAAAACCTCCTTTAATAAATTGTGCTGAAACGCTTCCGCCCTGGTGTGAATGGGGCCTTAAGCTGGCCATGCACTGGTAGATTTGGATACGTATATACAGTAAGTACAAAAAATCTTGTCAAAACATTTAATAATGCCATCAGAGACTTGACCTTTGCTTGAAATTTTGCTTGATTTTAACATTTGATTTTGCAAATGAAGAGTTTCTCAAATGAAAACCACATTCACTGTTTAGAATTTTCATCGAGAAAATTTTTCCATCGTGCTCCTTTCATTTTTTTTCATGACTGCAGTGGAAAACAATCCTTGATTACGTCTAATTAACTATTTGAACATTAAACAAACATTCAGAAAACTATTTTTTTTAGCAAAAAAAAAACAAAGAAACTGGTGTATGGCCAGCTTTACTCCTTTACACAGCCTAAACACATTTCCCTCCAGCTCTCATTATCTCTAAAGCAGACCACTGAAATCACAATCTGTCACATTAGCATCATGCAGAGAAACAAAGCTAGTTTGCAGGCACCTGGAGATTCTTGCTATTAAGCGTAAGGGAGCCATTTTTGTCCACAGGTACACTTTAAGGCAAGAATGACAGAGGAGCAGAGATGATGTGTAAGATGGGAAGGTTCAAACAATAAAGTGGTAAAATTAATTTGGAAATCAGAGAAGAGAGAGTTTAGGGAGTGAAGGATGTTAGGGAGGAAGCTAGAGTGGTTTGTGCAGACACACAAGGTTGCATGCTAAAGCCATTTTTTTTCAGTTTTTGTTTTAGTACAATATGCCGCAAAAAAGGCAGTAACTGCATTAAAAGGCCACATAGCTCATGTTAAGTTTATGTAAAGCATGTTTGTACATCAAGAACTACTCTTAGTATTATTTCTCCTCTAGTGCTATTCAGCCACCCAGGAACACATGTCTTTGGACAATGCAAGGGTAAGCATTAGTGAGTAGGGAAAACAAGTTCATGGCTCATTACTGTTGTCATGCAGTGACTTCTGGCTTGCAACTCTTCGTAAAAAAGGAAATAGTGATATGAAGTTGAGACAGAGAGAGCAAAAAAATCTATACAAGTGCTTTGGATTTTGTGCTGAGGGGGTTGAAGGAAGTAGAGATGAAATTATTTAGGTTATAATTAAAATTACATGGCACATGAACCATCATAAAGCATTGGCCAGAAACTGCCAACATGTTAGCCGGGACCATATAATACTAGGTATTTGGCGAGTATTTCCGTTCATGTTAATAATGACACTTGTAAACAAGTCAATACGATTTTGTAGAACAATGGAGGAAGAGTAGAAATACTGAAAACTTGGAATAACGGCAATAGTGTTTTTAACTTTTTGATGGATATTTGATCTTTTACGTCTAGTCAAATTATGTAATTTTTCTTCAATATTCTGGTAAGAGGTAACTGTGAAAGTACTTTAGGAGTCGATTCCTACTCCACACCACATGTCCCACCCTTGTTTGTTTCTACGTGCTACTGTATATTATTATTTATACCGGTTATTACCTTTCCACAAAGTAGCACAGCTAGTTTATTTTTTTATTTCAAACAAAGCATTTTTTTCCTCAATGTCAGTATATTTTATTGGCCATACCTTATTCTGAAATAATTTCTAGGATGTTTTTGGACAAATGTGAAGGAGATCTGAGTGATCTAAGAGGGGACAATACACCATCATCATGTCCTGTAGAAGGGGAAGAAGATGAAATTCCAAAAAAGAAACATCGCAGAAACAGAACAACCTTTACTACCTACCAACTGCATGAATTAGAAAGAGCATTTGAGCGTTCCCACTACCCAGATGTATATAGCCGAGAAGAGCTTGCAATGAAAGTTAGCCTGCCAGAGGTTCGAGTACAGGTGAGACTAGCATAAGATGGGGAGGGTTATGTTCACTGTAAGTGTAATAAGCTCAATTTGTAGTACAACTATACACACACACAACAGAATACCAAGTTAATGCTATTTGCATCTAAACTGACCACATACCGTACCCAGATACACTTAGAAAAACTATGAGGTACATACTTATTGTTCATGAAGTTCCTTTGCTTCTAACAATAATTACATATGCAGATGGAAAAAAGCTGTACACTGTGGGAGCTTATTTTTCTCCCCAGCTTGTCATAGCAGCAATATTGTCTAGAGGCTGGAAAAACAGACATATATGTCAAAGGTGGATCATTTTTTTTTAAATGAAACAAATAATCTAAATTGTTGCTAGGGGTAACTGCTACAGTTTATTTTTCTCTAGTTTTTCTAAACCAACTTTTACCTTTTTTATTATGTACAATACATTTCCCTCCTAATTTGCAACCTGCTGCTTCTTTGCGGGGCCTGTTTATTCAGCATCAGCAATAAATGTATCATTATTTAAGACAACATACATTCCAGGTGCATTAAAACAAAAGGTTTGCACAGCCTCGTTTTTTCCCTTAACAATCAGCCACAGCCTCAATAGATTAGCCTATGTCCTGCCAGCATGCTGTAGAGTGGGACCCTCGCTCTCTTAGCTAGATCTTTAAAATCAGCAGGAGCAAAGGGTTTTTCTGCAGCAAGGCTCCCATTCTGCAGCTGCTGGCAGGGGGCAGACTTTTTTATTAGAAAAATGAACTGTAAAACAATTAACACCTTTGTTTTGGTGCATCTGGAAAGTCTTAGCTGATTTAAACTTTATGTTCAATCGGGCTACATGCAGGGTTATCAGTCATTTATATTGGTCCACATGTGGTCAGTATCTGATCCCAAACAGTCAAATTCTCTTTACTGTTAAAATAAATAATAAAAAGGTGACCATACCCTTTTTCTGATGCATTCCATTGTCATGGTAAATAGTACAAATAATGATAACGCATTTAAATGACAAGTTCCCTTTTGAGAAATGACAAGTTCCCATACGTGTACCAGCCTTTCTCAACCAGGGTGCCTTCTGGCATTGTCATGGGTGCCTTTTTTGCTAAAGGGGGCTTCTGATGTGAAAAGGGGACTCTGATTTGAAAGTGTCTTCTTTTATTATGTTTCTCTGCCTGGGATCCCTCCTTCAAACCAATACACGTCTCCTTTTTAGGATAAGGGTCTGGTATGGATTTTGGGGGGACCACATGCCATCATTTACTTTTTTACATTTTAGACTGCGGTGTCTCGAGATTTTGCATACATTTAAAAAGTGCCGTGACTGAAAAAAGGTTGAGAAACACTGGTCGATACTACCCAGTGTAACTTAAATTAACCTGGAAATCCCAAACCCAGCTTACCTAAACATGCTGGGCACACCCTCCTTAGCTGTTTCTATCTTTTAAGTGAACATTTACTTTGGTGCTGGCCATGCCTGTGCAATGAGCTCTCATAGACTTAATCTGGGCCTACCTCCAAGTGTCTCTAGCCTCAGAGTACAGCTCTATAAAAATCTAAATGCAGGCACGGCCAGCACTGAAGAAGGTAACAGCCCAAACGAGCAGAGAAGGCAAGGTAAAGTAAGAAAACAACTGTGTGGGGGATGCCTAGGTTAAGAGTCCTTATTTTTATTGTTAGTCATCATAATGATACAGTCAAGATGTCTTGCAGAACAGACCCCATACCCTTCAGGTCTATGTGTTTGTGATGTTGAAGCACCACACATCATTTGAAAAAAAAGTCTAATTAAGTAACCTGGTGGGTCATACTAGTAGGTTTATTTCATATGCAGTGGCAAAGTACAATGACTAAGTGCAAAAAGCAGTAAATATTCAGGGAAATAGGAAAAAATGCAGTGACATAAATATATTTTATGAATGATTATGCCATGTTTGTAAAAAAAATAATCTACACTGAGCAGCTGTGTCACAGAAGTACAACTGATAAACATATGATTATTTTATTATCATTCCCTTACTAACAGTACGTCTACGGTGCAGTGTGAGAATATATACTTTAAGATGTCCTTGAAGTATAGAAACACTGAAATAAAACAGGTTAGAATCATACCTCCTTAATCAGCCAATAATGATAAAACACAAAGTTTACCTTGAAAGTCCATGGTGTGTTCCATTATGTTTTACATTTGTTTCTCTAAATAAGATATAGATGTATATTATTTTATCAATCTGACCTCAGAACTACGGCTATGACATTTTATTACCCTGCATTCTTTACTATCTTACCTCCTTACTAATCCATAAACTGAAATATCCAATTTGTGGCCACCTTGATCCGATAATGGGATCCTTTTTATCTAGGAGCTGTCGTTAGGAGTGTTAATTGCTCTTAGCCTAATGCTAGAGATTTTCCCTCTCGCTCCCAACACCTGTCGCTGTACTAAATTCCAAAATACCCCTCTGATTTTTACTAAATACGCATAATTATTTTCATACAGGTTTGGTTCCAGAATCGAAGGGCCAAATGGAGGCGTCAGGAGAAGCTAGAGTCTTCTTCTGCCAAACTTCATGATTCTCCACTGCTCTCATTTTCACGGACACCGATAACTACTAATATTGGGCCACTTAGTTCATCTCTACCCTTGGATCCATGGCTCACCTCTCCCATTTCTACAGCCAGCAGTGTGCACAGCATACCAGGATTTATAGCACCTTCTCAAAACCTTCAGTCACATTACACTGGTCATACTTTTCTCAACAGTGCACCTACAATGACATCTATACAACCTCTCAGCAGTGGCCCCTACCAATGCATGGGAGGCTTTGTTGACAAGTTTCCCATAGATGAGCTGGACCGAAGTTCCAGCATTGCTGCACTTCGCATGAAGGCCAAGGAGCACATTCAGACCATAGACAAGACTTGGCAGCCTATCTGACAACTGCATAAACTTGAGTTATACCCAAAACTGAAGAACTGAACGCAACAATTAGGACTTAAAGTGGATTTGTAAGGATAAACGTACAGCTGCCATTGCTGACTATTTTTAAATGTGTAGACTCTTTCTTCCATATGAAAAAAATGACTACTTTCATCCATTTATTGGCTTCCCTACACAGTAAGCTTGACTGAATGTTAGCTCTAGGCCAGTCACTTACTAGGTAGTGAAGGCAAGATCATAATATCAGATACAGATTCTGCACAGTTAAAACCAAGCCAGCAAAGACAGCTCCCATATTTTGTTCCTCAGAGGTTTACTTTACCTATTAGATTTTAATCACTAATGAGCGTGCAATTAAACCTCTTGTTGGTGACTGCCTTCATTAAAAACAGTGTATTTCAAATGACAAAACTATTTAAAGAAGAATAAATTGCTTAGAAGTTATTAAAATGTCACATGTAGTTGAGTCCCTATTCAACAACATTGTCCCATTGGAGATATTAAATGTGGTATCTGGAATACAAGGTTTCAGAAGTCTCAGGTAATTTGCTGATCTAGTCTTTCCTGACATGTTTGAGACACATAAATATGCTAATAGAGAAACCAACGTGAAAATGCACTGTTCAACCAAAAATTTATTTACATTGGGGGGAATTTATGAATCCTGTCACATCATCTGCGTTCTTTAAACAGTAGCCATGTAAGCCTGCAAAAAATGTGTTGTTTCATTTCGTCTTGTTTCGTTATTTGGTGTTTCGGGTCTGAAATTCAATTTGTTTCGGCATTCGGATTTGAATAAATCCAAATTTAGTTAAATGATCATTACCAACTATAATTTGTTCCAGAAAAGTGTAATTACATGTTTACTTTGTTGCTTTTTAATCTCTGACACCACAAACAAACAAACAAACAAAAAAAACAGCGTTTAGGTCTGGTAGGAATGTTATGGGGGAAACCGTATGTTAAAAAAAACCCCAAAAAACCAACGTGCGGTTTCCCGGCAATTCATACCAGACCCTTTATGTCTGGTAGGATTTTTAGGGGGGGAACCCCAAAGCCAAAAAAAATAAAAAGGGGTCCCCCCTAAAATCCCATACCAGACTCTTAATCCGGGCAGCAGCCTGGCAGGGCAGGAAAGGGGCAATGAGCGAACGCCCCCCCCTTCCCTCCACCATACCAGGCCACATGCCCTCGGCATTGGGAGGGTGCTTTCCAGGGGGGGGACCCCCTGGAAAAGCACCTTGTCCCCATTCCGATTGGGACAAGAGCCTCTTCCTCACAACCTTGACCCAGTGGTTGTGGGGGTCTGCGGGCAGGGGGGCTCATCTGCATCTTGGTACCCCCTTTCATAAAGGGGGCACCCAGATGCCACCCCCCTTGTGAATGAGTAAGGGGTACTTGTACACCTACTCATTCACTAAAGGCTGAAAAAAAATTAAATAAACACACAACACCTTAGAAAAAAATTCCTTTAATTGAACAAAAAACACAAATTTTTGACAATTCCTTTATTTAAAATACATTTTAAAAATGTCACACAAAGTCATTCCAGCGTCGGCCAACAATTGAAAGAAAAACTCCCCGATGCAATGTTTACACCGGACAGTGAGCAGAAATAAACAAATCCTGCTATTGGTTATTTAAAATTGAAATACCCAATAGCAGGCATTTCAATGCATCCGAATGTCCAGATTTACAGAAATTCGTACGAATTTCAATTCGGAACGAAACGAATTGCACATGTCTAATAAACAGTCACAATCATCAATTCAATTGCATATTGCGAATAGGGTTACTATTGCAGTGCTTATTTCATTCATGAATCTCTGGCAAAGATAAACTGTTGCAAAATTGTGACTAAGTATACTGTCACACATTAGCGTTAGTTGCAAGCAAATGTAAACTTCATGAATAGGACAAATGTATCCACAGAGCTGATGAGATTGCAGCTGAAAGTGACATTAAACTCATGAAATAAATCTTAAAAATGCATTCCAGTATCCTATACCTTATTTGCGTATCACTCAGCTGTAGATCCTCAAATTATCTCTGAATTGATGCCAACACGGTCCTTCCTTCTGGGGGGTGGCTGCTTTTGTTCCACATGGTCCCTGTGTGTGTTGTAAAATAGCTACCGCTCTACAGCCTAGTGATACACAAAAAAGCTACATTTTTGTTAACAAGTAAGGTACTTGAATGTATTTTTCTCCCGAGCTAAGTGTCACTTTAATTGCTTCTCAGTATGTGCACAATCTCTTCCATGAAATGGCACAATCTCTTCCAACACATGAATATTTAACAAATGTATCCAATGGGCTGCTGGCACTGTAGCTTTTTAGGAGTTCTCCCAATTAACTAATGTTCGCAACAGACTTTACAGGACCATCTTCATGTTTTGGAAGAGATCATGCAGACTGACAGACAATTAATACAGAACTCCAGGCAAATGTTTTATTAACCCTTGCAGTGGGGCTACCTAAGTGCTAAAAAAAAAAAGTTATACTCACCCCAACCATGGAGCTGGAAGAGGAGAGAGGCTTCTGGGCCCAGACTAAGAGCAAGCTGGCTATAATGATCGGGTGAGTACAAGTTTTTTTTTAGCACCTGGACAAAAACGAGCACTTAACCCTTGCAGTGCGGGGCAGCCCCAATGCAAGGGTAGGGTTGATTAAAAAAAATTCCCCGGAGTTCTGATAATTACTTTAATTGTGTGTAAATTTACCCTTAGAGCTTTTTATTTTCTTTGCACTGATTTTAGAAGTGGTCAAGAGCACTTCTAACATTTGCATATGAATGGCAGAGATTTCAGTTGCAGAGAGATTTTCCCATCATGCAGTTATCATGCTAAAGTACTGTTGTATTTGCATTTCTGTCACAAACAGTCACAGAGCAGAAAAAGCCCCATTTTTTGTTTAAAAAAAAACAGAGCACCGCAAAAGGAATTTGTGTGCATTGTAGAAATGCATATAGGTTGGAAATGCAACTTCTTCTAAACAGACGCAGATGCATTAATAAATTCCCCCCCATTATATTTTCTGAAAGAAAAATAGCTGCTATGTACAATGTATGTCCTTTCCTGAGACACTTAAATAGATTCTTATGTTGCACTTTTTATGGGCTTTTAAAGTGCAAACGTATGCAAATGACTAAATACGCTATTGATATTGTACTGTTTTACCTGCCAAAAAACTGCAGTTCTTTTCAATTAGTTCTCTAATACAGATGCTATACAATATTTGGATCATTTACTTTTCCTCATCAAAGTCACAATACAGTTTGGTGAAGACTGTGATTGGATGATAAAAGAACAGCAGCTCATTTTCATCTTTGTGCTCTCTCCTCTAAACAGCAAACGCCATATAAAAGATTTACAGCACTATGCAATGAAGTGAAGACATATTGCGTTACATTGTTGCCCTTTCTTCTCGCAGTTTGAATGTTTATGTACAATGGCCTACCGCAAAGACAGATGAATGCAACACCTGGCTAAATAGGAATCTTTTATATCTGCTTATGTTCAAACATTTTAAAAAATGCTATATTATTTGGCAGGAATGCATAGTGGAACCTATTTCAAGGGTAAAAATAGGAGTTATAAATGATTGGAAATTTATCAGACTTCAGGTACACACTCTCCAAAATACTCATGCTGTTACAAGACTTTGTATCCCAACTTAAACAAACAAATGGGTTAGTTGTCCCTTAAGTGATATTTCTGCTTTTTGGTAGAGGTTTGAGTTAAACCACCCAAGAATGGCAAAAATATAACGTATATCTCTTAAAGACTTAATTGGTGACATATCTGCCCTTGAATCTCATGTTCCTTGCAGTTTCTGTGAGCAAGGTCCCCAGTCTCCCTGCTGGGTTTCTATTTGTTTTATATTATGGAGTGTAATACATGCAGTGCAGGAACTTGCAATAATATGTGGGAACACCCGAAATTCCCAAGGTACAGAGTTGTGAATTTTTGAAAGAAGATCCAATTGCTGAAGTGTACAAGTCATATAAGAAGCCAGGGACAGATTCAGCCCATTAGACTCCACCTAAAATAAAGATAACAAATTGGGTGGATTGACCTTTATGTATTTTATAACATATATCAGTATTTTAGCTTTTTAGTTACAGGACAACCATATGCACACCATTCCCAGTATTTTGTATATCCATTGAGCAGAATTGTATATGGTTATTGATTATGTAACACACTAACACTAAAAACATACTGTAAATGCATTCTATTCATAATAAACCTCAAGTCACAACTATCTCAATTAAAACAACTGATGTAAGTAGATATAACACCTAAGTCGTGTGCAAGCTGAAGTTTTGTAGTCTTGTTTTGCTTTGCCATTGTTCCAAGAATGGTAGGCTAACTGAAACAAACATTTGCCCTACTCATTAAATGCATCACCAAGGAGAACTGGAACAGTGCCCTTCCATGTGTATATAATTAGTTATTAAACTAAAAGTGTAACTACTGATCTGAAAACAAACTTTCTAATCCGCTTCCGTGGCTGCTGAATACCCAAACAGTGGCTGCATCTGATTGTAAGTTATTTATTTATAGTATAGATAAGTGGACTTCTGCTCCGCTGACAAATTGCCTGCAGATCAATTGCCACTTTGGTTAAAATTAAGTTGAACGGTGGGTCAAATTCGGTGGAGATATCGACGGGACCCAAACTGCATCTGGTATCGGTTCTATAGCTGGTCCCGAGTCCTGCCAATCCGGCAACAATGGTGTACAAACGGACAGATTATCACAGAATTGCCCCAGGTCTTGTGAAAACCGCTGTTTTCCCGTTCTTTCTAGCCATCAAACAGAAGGGGAAGCCCCATCTGTAATTGATGCCTGCTCTCTGTAGTACTTCCAAGAGCGGGCGCAGCACCCTGCGCCGCACCAGAGTCTCTCTAGCAAGGTCTGGGTAGGTATGAATGTGTACTCCAATAAAGTCCGTTTGGGGATGTTCTCGCAATCTCCGCAGAATGGCTTCCTTATCCGAGAAATCGGCAGTTGGCAGATAGCGTCCCTGGGTATATCTGAGGCCATATTACAGGGGTAAACCCGGTCATACAACAGGGGAACGGTAAGTTCTCATCCTAGAATGGTATTAAAGAACCCCCTGAGAGTCTCAGCCGTGGCTTCTGGCCACTGATACACAGGTTATTCCTGCGTCCTCTATTTTCTAAGCGATAAGACACAGTTCTCTGGGAGCAGGCTAAAGAATATACCTGCAGGGCCAATATTACCTTGACATGGGAGTCCAGACGATTTTCCCCCTCCTCCACGCATTGGAGCAAGTGTGTTACTTCCCCCTGAGGGACCGAATGTCCGACTTCAGGGATTACTCGAGGCGGGTAAACATAGTTGTGAGTTCCTCCTTGGTCGTGAGAGCCCTCATCAGCTCGTCCATGGAGGGTGATGACGAGCTATGCTCCCGCTCGTCCCCTGTCTAGGATCTGGAAGGAGGTGAGTCTACAGCACGGTCCCATGAGGACGATCCGAAAGATGGGTCAAGCCGGGCAGGGGAGCTCCGCGGTTGGTTCTGGGAGGGGGAAACCAGGTGGCGAGTCATTACACGCCGCCTGGTTTCCTGAATGGGACTTCCGAGTGGCGAAATAAAAATATTGGTACTCATACCGGTGCATCTGCAGCAGACCTTACCAATCAATCACAGCCTCCTCCCAGCAAAAAGGTAAGCAGGAGAGGGGGCTCTGTATTTTATAGGTGGGCGTGCGGGGGGACTGGGATGGTATTTTACATGGTGGCAATCACATAGGGGGCTTCTTAGCCCCCCCATGTGATAGCAATAAAATTGTGTAAAAAAAAAAGTTATACAAAAATTAAAATCATAAAAAAATAAAAGCATTAAAAAAAATTAAAAGCAATTTTTTAAAAAAAAGTCCTCCGCCCCCACATACACACGTAGATAATCGTCGTGTGCACCTACGTGCGAAAACGATTGTTGTTTTTGTGCCGCACATGTTACATATAACCGCGAACGTCGGAGTGTGAGCAATAATTTTAGGGCCATTAATTACTGATAACACTGGTCTGATGAGCGGTAACAGTTTTAAGCGTCGCCTATGGCCAATTTTCAGTGTGGTCGTTTGTTTGCGATTTTGTGGGCGCACGCAATTTTAATGCTTGACATATTTGGTGTCTATTTACCCGACGTGACCCCGTCTTATATTTTACCAGAAATATGGGTAAGAATAGATGTTTTATAACATAACTAAAACATTTTTTTATTTGAAATTTACGCTACTTTTTTTCATTATATAGTAAAAAATAACCCCCCCAGTGCTGATAATATACCTCCAAAAGAAAGCTCTATCTGTCCCCAAAACTTTTTAACATAATTTGCAAGGCTATAGTCCGGTCATGCTGACTGGTGAGATTTTTGACCGACTGGTGACACCCTAACATTTTTAAAGCCCTGCCTATAAGTGTCCAAGACCATTGCACTCTAAAAATGGCTTCCACTGTACATTGCATAACTTTTACAACAGCATATAATAACAAAGCGCTCCTGATAGTAAGGAGCAGACAGGCATAGGATGGAACAATATTATGCAAAACAATGGGGTCAATTCACAAAGAGAAAGATTATTTGCTTTCTCTAGTTGTTAATTTACCTCTCCTTATTTTTCCTTTGAAAACATGGTATTAACGAAAGTCCCAATTGTAATTTAGCATGCTCGTTAAGGCTTCCGACTGAAGCTGGAGTTATTTTTACGTGTTCCACGTTATTTTAGTAACTGAAGCAAAAACAATTCCCCTCAAAAGTTACTTTTACGTCTTAAATCATAGAATTAACATTTAAGGTGTTAAAATACGGTTGACTAACGCATTCTTGGGTCCGCTGCTCTGTGGGAACAATAGCCAGTAGCATTCCTGCTTATGGCTATTTCAAATTGCAATAACCAATAGCAGAACGGTTATTGCTCCTGCAGAGGAGAAGACCTGAGAGTGAAAGTTCTCACGCAGGCCCTCTCCTCTGCTCATTGAGAGAAGGTAGTGGAACAGCCAGCCTGCTTTTGGCTATTTCAAATTTGAAATAGCCAATAGCAGACTTTGTTTATTTTTCCAGAAAATATGAAAGCAGAAAGGAAGCACCACATCCTAGCACATTATCTGGGTGGATAAGGGGTTAAACAATGCAAAACCACAAAGTTGCACTCACAGAGATGGGCAGAGTGTGACTCGTACATCAACTGGTAGATTTTGGATACATTGCATCACTTATTTTAGCTGCTACATGCAACTCTCACTAGATGTATATTATAAATCAGGTGATGCAGGGAAGGCTGTGAATGGCAACATGTATGAATAAAAAGAAAGACCATTGCCGATAGTGTATAAATCCAAATTAAACCTTATTTAAAGGTGCCATTTACAGATACCCTCTGGACACGTTCCCGTAGCCAGTTCTCTATCCACATACACAACACCTCATCTATGCCCATAGCCCTCAGCTTGTGTAGCAAGCGTTTGTGTGGTACCGTATCAAAAGCCTTTGAGAAATCCAGATATACCACATCTACTGGCTTACCTCCGTCCATATCTCTACTTACCCCCCTAATAATATTTAATAAAAACACAGGCAAACGGTTCCATCTTCCAAAAACTGCAAAAAAAGAGGCTTCACTGCCAGAAGTTATCAATTCACCTCAAAAATCTCCCTTTCAAAGGCAGAAAATACTGCCCAAAAACAACACTTTTTTGGCTTATGAAACAATTGCCTAACGGTCGATAAATGGTCAAACAATCTTTGTTAATTGCACTTCTTTACATATTTAAAGGAGAACTATGGGGTTAGTGTTTTTCCCCATAGTTCTCCTTAGGGTAACGGGAGGACACAAACTAGCATCCTCCCGTTACCCTAAGCTCAGTATACCGCGAGCTACAGCTTGCGGTATTGAGACGCCGCAGCTGGAGCGGATCCCGACCTGGACGTCAGGATCCGCCCAGCTGCGTGAGTGACCGCTGGCTCTGCCTATCTAGAGGCAGAGCCAGCTGTACCCGCCCCCTCCCCCGTCCGTTCTGCCAGTGAGCGCTGGCAGATCGGAGCGGGGAGAGGGGAATCCAGCCCCTCCCCCTGTCACGGCAGAGAGCCGTGACAGGATCGAGAGGTGAGCGAACCCGGTATGTGTTCGCTCACCTCCCGATCTACTGAGCCGACCTGACAGTCTCATTGTCACAGGTCGGCTAGAACTATGAGGTGAGTGGAAATCACTCATCTCATAGTTCTCCTTTAACAATTAGGCTTGTTAAAATAAGGCTTGCAACATGAAATAACGAGTTACCTGATAAAATATCACTTCTGCAAACACAGACAGCAAATGGTGGAGATTCCAAGCATTACATCATTTGATGAATTGAACAAACTGAAATAGCAAGCGATATCTATTAAATAATGGCTGGAAAAAAAAAAGCTTTGTGACTTGAACCCCATAATCTAAAATGAAGCAGACTTTTTGGTGTAAGCCCCTAACAGTAAAATTCTGATCAAATTTGTAAGGCTTACTTTTATTCACATTCTCATTAAATTTCAATAATTATGGAGACACAATTTTAAGAAAAATAATTTAATTGAAAAGTCCTGGATTGTTGAATTGAAGCTTACTAAAAAGCAACCACTGCATAGTACAAACACAACAAGGCAGGATGATTTGTTCATCAGAGTTTCTTTGCTTTGGCTAGACGGTTGTTCCTCCACATATGCAGTTTTCGAAGCAGTTTCCAGTACTCAGGAGTATCTGGACTTCTCTCTTCCAAAGGTTTAGGTGGACCTAGATCTAATTGGAAAAGCCTATGAGGAATAGGGAAATGACAAAATATTTAGGATCAAAGTGGAGCATCCTGAATCCTCTCAAACCCCACAATCTGCACTGAAAAGGCTTTACTTACCATTCTGGGTACTGACACTCATCCTTCAACTTGATATCTGAACCATTTTTGTATATATTCAACCCCATAGCATGTGTGGTCAAGATAAGTGGATCTTTGCAAACTTCAGGACCTTTCTGAACATCTTTGGCAAGTCCTTTTCCTTTACCTTTAAAAACTGTGAACAAATATCTGTGTAAATAGTTTATAACCTTTTTCGCTCTTCACTGAATTTACAATTTAAAAACAGGACGTTAAGATGTTCTCTACTCCCTCCGCCTAATATCATTATTTTCCAGTAAGAGTATATACTAAAATACTTCAACTGGTCTTCTCTGAACTTCATAAAATCATGCATTTCTAAGGCTGGGCACACACCTTACAACCATCGCAAGACTTTTGTCTTGCGATGGTTGTAAAGTAATTTAAAAAACGTACGATCTTCCCATCTTGGACAGGCAGATCGTACTTGCGATTATCGCAAGCCGCGCCCCCATGAGGGGCGAGCTTCCGATGACCGCAATTCCGAACGGGCAGTGTGCGCTTGCGCACACCGGCCCGTCTGGCATTTATCTTACGAACATGCTACACACCCGCCGAACATCGTACGATGCTCGGCGGGTTTTCAAACATGTTCCTAAGATAAAAATTGTGGGACCTTACAGTAGTAGAGGTCGCACGGCTTCCACACACCTTACGATCGCTGGATTTCCCGCGATTATCGTACGATCGCAAGGTGTGTGGGTACCTTAACATTCAACTAAATTTCAGAGTGATGCATCAATTACCATTTGTTGCCTGAAGGAGCATTTTATCGATTTTCTTTATGTCTTTCCTGAAGGTTTGTTCTCCATGTCTTTCACCAATAGTAGTTTTACCAACAAGTTATTTTCCTGTTACATTGCTAGGCTGACTTTTACTGGTCGCTTCTGAGCACGCTTAGTGACATTAAAAGGATATTTTTTTCCCTCCCCCCCAATGATAGTGTATGGCAGGTGTAGCAAACCTCCGGCCCTCCAGCTGTGGTGGAACTACAAATCCCATGAGGCATTGCAAGATTCTCACAGCCACAGACATGACTCCTGAAGAGAGATGCAGCATGGGATTTGTAGTTTCCCCACAGCCGGAGGTTTGCTACCCCTGGTGTATAGACTTACTTTAAATCATGCCTCTTAATCCGATCTTCTTTAGCGTAGTTTTAAAATGTCCCTCCAGCGCTGGTGCAGGTCTCCGATCCAGCGCTGTCTCCTCTGTCCTCCTCTCCTCTGATGTCCCACAGAGTGTGTGCAGGTGCACACTGCTCTATAGACTTACCTTATGTCTCTCCTCTTCTCCCGGCCGAACATCTGAAATGCGCATGCGCCAAGCCCAAGATCCTTTGCTTTCAACTGAAACTATACAGATGTTCACTATCTAAACTGCCATACTTGTCCTCTTTCACAATTAATGGAAGAAAGTCTAAGATCTGCTGACCAAGTACAAAGGACCACTTAAGAAACAGGCAAGTAAATGAAGCATTTTAATAAATGTAATTGAAGCTATTCTACAGCATCTCTAGAGTAGTAAAATGTTGACTAACCATTCATAATTGAACAAGAATCACTTGCACCAACCCATTACCCACTTCAGAATGCGAAAGCTACATCTGCATTTCACACAAGTTGAGAAAGGGTATTAATTGCTGTTCCTGTCCAAATGGAGGAGTAGAACTTCTACTCCCCTACTTCAACTCTGAGTTCTCATGTATTCTCTTTCCCCCTTACATATACTCTGCACACAATAAAATCTACTCACACTAAAGCTGGCACTTCTGCTTGCCCCTGTCGGAAGTGATTGGATCAGGAGAGGGTGCGTCGGTCTCAGTTTTGTGTGGGCTTGGGCAAACTAGGGCAAAATGAGTTTGCACCAAGCCCCAGCTCATCACTAGTTTCAACCCTTCCCTCTTCTATAAAATTAACAAAAAAAAAGTCTTTACTTTAGACATACTTTAACCCTAAACTGATGAGCTGTAAAGGTTTTGAACACAATAAGTATGTAAAACGTAGGTAAAGTGTTACGCAGACACCCACGTAACAGTGCAGTTTGATGCTGTAATGTCAACGTCCGCAACTTGGAGGCCTGAAATGTTTGGTATTCACACAATCTCATCTTCTGCATTTTACAAAAACAAAACAAAAACCTGGGGATTATATTGTATTTGTGTGCACTATTCTAATAGACCGGTAAGGAGTGCAGCAAGACACCTATATATATCAGGGGTGTGGAATTCCTATCGCCCGACGCCCGGAACATGCAGTTTCGGGCGCCGGGCGAGTAGTTTTAAAGTACATTCAGCCCGGCTCCGGACAAGCAGAGCTGAATGTACATTGTGGAGCCGCCGCCGCTCGTTTAATACAAGTGGTCTGATCAGATTGTTTCTGCCCGCACCCCCCGCCGTAGTTTTCGGGGTTGCCCGCTCTCCCGGGGAACCCCGAAAACTAAGGTGTACTCGTACTCACCCAAATGCTCCAATACCTTCCCCGATATTGGAACTTAAGGCCAGATGAAAATTTCCTCTGACTGGCAGTGCCGTAGGGGAACATGGAGCCAGCTTCCCGTGCAATCAGGAAGCCGTGCGGCAAGTAATGAGCCGCAAGTAATGGTTTTCTGATTGGCCCGGGAAGCCGGCTCCTTGCTGATTGGCTGGAAAGCCGGCTTCCTGGCCAATCAGCATCGAGCCAGTTTCCCGGTCAATCAGGTCATTACTCGCCACCCGGCTTCCTGATTGACAGGGAAGCAGGTTTCCCGGCCAATCGCAATCAAGCAGGCCAAACAACATGGAGCCGGCTTCCGTGGCAATCAGGAACCTCTGCGGGATGTCATTACCTGATGCCCGGTTTCCTGATTACCAGGGAAGCCTGCTCTATGTCAGCGGAAGCACCGGTATTAGTATTCAGTGTCGGCGAGATCCGAAAGCAAAAAATCGGTACTCGTACTCGATACCGAAAAACCGGTATTGGTGCATCCTTAGTTTTGATTAAAACTATTTTTTGTATTGTCGTGAAGGACAACTAGATTTGGCCCCCACTTTAGCCCTTGGACAAGTAGTTTTTAAAAAAATGTCCACACCCCCTGTATATTACCCAGGGCACCAGAGCCGTACCTAGCACCTTCTGCGCCCGAGGCAAGAACAGAAAATGGTGCCCCCAACAGATGTGTGTGGTATGTGACATCATGCGCCCCGCCTCCAGGATAGCGGCACGCATGCGCAGAATGCGCTGGTGGCCAAATCCAAAATAGCATAAAAATTTGTTCCGTTTGACAAAACTAATGAAAACATTTTAAATTTCCGTTCATTTTGTCCGATTTTTGTTTTGTTTTAGACTTTGCACATGTTTAGCAATATGCGTGCATGAGTGTTTGTGGGGGGGGGCTTCGGGAAAATATCAGGGGTCTAAAAAGACCCCTGACATTTCCCTTTTGAAATAGAAAAAGAGATTGAGGACACAGTCCTCTGCCCATACAGGTGGGGGAGAGCAGCCGGGATCCGAGGAGAAGCTGCAGCCTGTGCTGCTCTTCTCCCTGCCGAGTCATGGCAGTGTTGGCCACCTGGCACCCGTTACCAATGGTGCCCTGTGCTCGCCATGGCAATAGGGGCAAGAGGGTGCAGCCAGGCTGGCCCTGGCTGTGCCCCCTTTCAGCTGTGCCTGAGGCGAGTGCCTCACTCGCCCCATGGTAGCTACAGCCTCGCAGTGCACATAGAAAACACTTGTTGCCTGTGTGTTCATCTTGTGCAGAAAAGGCAGGGCACATAATAGGCCTTGTTCACACAGGCTAAGAGAAAGCAAGCTTTTACAGAGCAATTGCAGAATGTCTGGCTAGCTTTGTTGAAACTTTTAAAGCACCTTTCAGCTCGAGCATGGGAATGTTAAACACAGATCTTAAAGAGGAACATCAACGACCTCCCCACCAAAATACATACTAATCTGCCCAGCAAATCCATCATTGTCCTGCTGCTGCAGCGTTGGTTCTACGACGCCATCAGGAGCTGGCCATCTCTTCCAGGGTATTCAGTTGATATGCAGCCAGGCCAACTGGGAGACCCTGGTCCTCATGTTATATGTGACAGGGACATAACAGGTTGCAGAAGCAGGGACACATTCTCATGAAAGGGAGGCAAAAAGGGACTGTACTACCGTAGGTCTAGCCAAAAACATATATAGGCAAAGAGCTTAAGTGGACCTTGGCAGTGAAGGTCTACTTTAATGCAAGTGCTGTCAATGTAAACAAGCTGCTAGCAGTTTTGAGCATAACGTAAAGCTTGTTGAAAGCCAACTGGCAGCTTGTTTAAAGTGAGTCAACACTCCTATTAAGATCTGTGTTGAACCTATCCAAACTGGAGCTGAAGCAGGGTGGCTTCAAAGGACCCAAGAGAGCTGTTTGAATTGTAGTGTTCACACTGCTCTTCTACACGCTGAAGGCCGTGTGATTTAGGGCACAGTGAAACCGATAGCGTCCTCTCTTCCCTCACCCGCTTTCTTAGCGTATCCCCGCAGCTGAACACTCCCGTTGCTCCTAAGCAGCGCGGACACAGCTCTAAACGTCCCTCCAGCAGACATCCTTTACATTTATTCCGGGTCACCAATGGCGCGCTGCATCATGGGACATGGTTTTCTGAAGGTTAGATGTAGGCCACGCCTTCTCCCTTGTCTTTTCCTATAGCCCCCCCCCCCATCTATAGTGACAGAGAGTGGTGAAATGCAAAAGCCGAAGTTACTAGAGAGGAGTAGTAGTAAAAGTGTATGAGACCCCCAAGAAGTGCTGAAGAGTTTGGAGTCATGCTGAATGAAGTGCTTACGGAGGCGTGCGGCAAGTGAGCCATTGCTTACAAAGCAGCGACAATACTAAGGCATTAAATGTGACACGTTGCATAGACCCCGGCAGAACGGAATGGAGTCCGTGTGTGCACCCCCTCACATGGACACGGAGAGCCCAAGCTGCTTTGCTGGGGCCAATGACGCAGCCCCCTGCAAGGAAGGCTCCCCTGACCCCGCGGGAAAAGGCCCCCCTCGTGTTGCCAGCTACTCAGAAATGGACACCAGACCCCCTCTGACTCCGGATACCATGATGGCCTTGGATGTGGACTCACACGTAGGCAGAGATTCGTTGGGGGATCCTTTCCATATGCAGGAACTTCTAAGTGAGCTACCAACACTGAATTGCCAGGCAGGAGAGCCACACTCAAACTGCTGTACTGAGTCTGACCGTCATTTAAACACAAGGCCGAGCGGGGATCAGGATTACCAGGAGAGTGCCAACCAGTGCTCACCGTGCCCTTTGCATATAGCCATAGGGAAAGGGCAGCCACAATTAATTAATCGATCCTCCGAATCCGACCTACAAGCTTCTAGCAGTCGTGGACTGTTCATGACAGACGATGACACGGGGGAGTTGCTTAGTCTTTTTCAGTACGAGGGGGGCACTCTGGCAGACGTAAATACAGGAACGCCCTTGGCTACATTAGATGGCTTAACACAAAATGAGGAGCGTTCAAGTACCGGCATTTTAGCGTGGGATGAGAATGAGACGCCTTCCTCCTCCTCTGAGCTTAGCAGAGAAGACAGTTCTAGTAGTGTGGCTGAATCGGAGATTTCCGATCAACAGCGACCCCTGCAGGAAAATAACGAGGAGGTAAGAAATCGGGGAGTCTCTTGTGTACTCGCATGTAGAATGATTGTACATTGCTATGACAAACCTGTGTTGCAAGGCTGGCCCATACACTGAGTTTCAACCAATTCACAGGAATCATCCACCATGCTAAGGACCCTTTCACATGGGCGATCAGGTCAGTTTTTCAAGCCGACCCGTTTGGATGCCCAATGCTAGTGTATGGGCAGCCGGGTCTAAATGGACGGGCATCTATTTTAACTTAGTTACCCCTGACTCTGGCCAGGTCCAGAAAATCAAACAGAACAGTGTTCTGTTTTGACTGACCTGATCATGGCGGATTGGGGGTAATACATTCGATTCCCCTTCGGCCCCATTCACACTGAGCGATTTGCATTTTGCGCGATATCGCGCAAATGCTTGCATTGAGCAAGCTAGAATCGCGGCAAAATCCGCTCCAAAAAGGGTCCTGCTGTAGCGACGCACAACCCGCGACAGCGACGGACAACCCCATTGCCATGCATTGGAGAGCGATATCGCCGGGTAAATAGACGCGATATCGCGGGAATTACCGCGCGATAAATCGCTCAGTGTGAATGGGGCCTTAGGCTAAGATGAGGTCCAGTAATTTCAGTTTGAGGATGAAACTGGACAGACATGCATGTCACCGTGGTGATACCCGATCCGCACTGCTCCAATCAGGTGGGGATCCTTGCACGGATTTCCTCCTGATCAGTCCGTGTGAAAGGGCCCTTACAGTGGGGGTGGCCCCGTTGGCTCATGCCCTGTGCACAACAACCTGAAGCCCTGTTCACACATCCGTAACATGCATATTGTACCGTACCAGTTTGATGCAGATCACAACAGGGACACATAGACATGAGTTGTTTTCTATGTGTCCCATTCACACCACAACACGTTTTATTGCAGCATGCTGGATGCCACCGAGGGTCGCTTCACAGCAGCTCTCTTGGATGCCATCGCAGGTCGCCACACAACAGCGGAGCACTGCTGTCCTGAATGGAGTGTACACATTGCACACTCCACATTAAGTTAAAAAAGAAAAAATGTAAACAATGACAGCTGCATTTTATTGCCATAGTGCACTAGCCTGTCCGCTAAAACACAGCTTGATTTGAACCTTCACCTATGACCAGCTTTAGTGCAGCAGCTTTTTCTGCTTCTGTATATGCTATCATGCCATATTATGGGCCCTATTGGGCTGAATGGTTACTCTTCCACTTTTTCCCTTCAATTGGTAGGCTACAGTCACGCTAGGTGCATTTATAGACATTTAAAAAGCTTTTCTAAATACACATATATGCATCTAATGACTTCCAATGGATCTATTCACACATTGCATCTAGATGACTTTATCTAAAGTCAGTTTATCTGCCTTTTCAAAAAAAATAGAAGTCATGTGCATCTAGGAATCAATTTTAACTTCAAAATGCATGCAAACACATGAAAATGCTTTGACGCTAGGATTTGGTACCGAATGGATCTAAATGCATATGCATGTAAACGCATGTAAACACGCATCATTGAAAGCATCTAGCAGCATAAACACAGCATCCAGCCTGACAGATTTTGCTCTGCATCTAGAGCACAAAAACACAAGTGTGAATGTGGCCTTAAAAAGCATTTAAAATAGTATATATTCTCATTTTTCCTATTTTGTTGCCTTACAACCTGTACAGCGTGTGGAGCTGTGAACAGGGCCAACTGATCGGAAGCCGATTAATCGATTATTGAAAAAGTTGACAACTTTTTCAATAATCGATTATAATCGATTATGTCGATTAGTTGTTGCAGCCCTAGACATACACACAATAGTCCAAAATGGTGAAGTGAAATCAAGAAAATAAACTTGTTTAACCACTAAAGTCCACGGTATTAAACCCCCTTTCTTGTCCAGAGCGTTTAACATCTTTCAAGTGAATTGGAAATTAGCAACCATGGACATCTCTTCCCTATACACGAGTATAATCAACACTGAGGGCCTGAGAGCCTTTGAACACTTGTTAGTGCGTAGAGAAAAGCATGACATTCCTGCTGAATTTATTTTACAGGGATTGGATTTTGTGTTGGATAATTTGTTTCTATTTGAGGATACTTTAAACCAGGGGTAGCAAACCTCCGGCCCTCCAGCTGTGGTGAAACTAAAAATCCCATGATGCATCTCTCTTCGGGAGTCATGTATGTGGCTGGAAAATCTTGCAATGCCTCGTGGGATTTGTAGTTCCACCACAGCTGGGGGGCCAGAGGTTTGCTACCCCTGCTTTAAACAAACAGATCCGGGGCACTGCAATGGGCAGTTCAGCCGCACCGGCTTTTCGCAAATCTGTTTGTAGGCTACCTGGAGGAGTGCTATATATTTCCATCTGAGCTATATTCAAAACATGTCAGAGGATGGATGCGTTACATTGATGATATTTTCATTTATTGGGAGGGGGATGTGAATGAATTTGTTCAATTTCTGAATGAAATGCCGGCAGGTTTTCTGATAAGGAAATATCTTTTCTTGATGTCTTGGTTACAATCAGGGATCACACAGCATCAACATCAGTATATAGAAAACCTACAGATAGAAATACCTTACTCCATTACAACAGTACAACAGTGCTCATCCCCCCCCCTATCTTCTGAATAGCCTACCGATTTCCCAATTTATGCGGGTAATCCGCATTTGTTCAGATCCTGACATATGTTCTCAACAAATCAGGCAAATGTTCAATAAATTCCTACAGAGGGGGTACCCCCCCTGACATCCTCGAATCAGCACTATCACGGGCCCTGACACACCATGAGCGACAAAACCAAAGAGAGGATCCCGTTTATAATGCAATTGCAAGGAACTCTAACATCCTTCATGCAGATAAAACTATTCCGTTCCATGTTAAAGACAAACCCCTTATGGTGTATAAGAAAAATGAAACGACTAAAGATGTTCTGGTACAAGCTGACCCCAGAACAAAGTATGCTAAAACTCCCTTTGTCCTCTCACAAAAAACAGGTTGTGAAAGGAAGAAATTAACTTAGGCAAGAAAGACTGCCTCGGTCCAAGATTACTTTCTCTTGGTTTAAAGACAATGAAAGGTTGCTGATTCAGTCATTCGGATACTCTCCTAGCTGAGGTAATAGCAACCAGGAAGGCCACTTTACGAGTAAGGTCTTCCAAACCTACACTTTGCAGAGGTTCGAAGGGAGACTGCTGTAAATATGAAAGCATCAAATTAAGGTCCCATGAGGACAATGGGGAACTCCTAGAAGAAACTAAATGCGCAACAGCCTGAATGAATGTCTTTAATGAGTGAATGACTGGCAAGAGGCTCTTGAAAGAGATTTGTTAAGGGCGAAATCTGACCCTTTAATGTGCTCAGTTTTATAAACCCGTTTTGAGGAAAATTTAAAACCTGATTAACTGAAAAAATTCTCGCCATGCTCGGTAATAACACCATACAAATTGAGGGCTTCCTTTCCTGAAGCAGGGTAGGAATGACCTCCTCTGTTAACTCTTTCGCTGTTTACAATCCTTGTTTTATTGATTGCATGTAATATTCTAATTTTCTGAGATTGTGGATTTGGGGTTTTCATGAGCTATAAGCCATAATCATCACAATTATGACAAATCACGGCTTGAACTATCTTGCTTTGCATGTAATGAGTCTATCTCCTATATTAGTTTCACCTTTTTAAGTTGCATTATTGAAACAAATGAACTTTTGCACGATATTCTAATTATTCGAGTTTCACCTGTATATCAGAACGATTCCCCTGACTGTCCTCTTTAAAATAATAGCTGTCCTGAGTGGCTGGCGGCCTAACCGAAAATCCGGGCGCCCACCCTTCGGCACCTGCAACCCCTCTCCTGCCCCCTCACCATGCTTCTCCTCGGATCCCCGCTGCTCTCCCCTGCCTGTATGGGGGCACGGATATGGGAGGGCTGTCATCCAGGAGAGGAGCCACAGCTGAGCGGTGAGGAGAGAGCAGAGAGACGCTGTCATCCTGTCAGTTTCAGGGTGGCAGCGTCTCTGTGCATGACCCAGCGGCGATCGGTTATTATCACAGATCCTCTGTGTGCAGAGCAAACACTGGAGTGATCAGGTGATCGCTCCAATGTTTGTAAACAACTGGGGACACAGTACTATGTGTCCCCAGTTATGAATGAACACAGAGTGCTTTACATCACTTCCTGTTCATTCATGACTTTTTCAGTGGGGAGAAGCATTCAGTACAGAGGCTTCTATATATGAATAAACTGGTTGATAGTAAAACATTCACTATCACCCGTTTGTGAATGAATAGGGAGCCTCTGTAGTGAGAGTTTTCTGATGCATATGCACTGCGGTGTGTTCTTAGAACGCATCACTTGATTTTTTTTCTTTTCAAAATTACATTAATTTAACTCTGGCAGCAAGGTGCAAAGCATTGTGACGCATTACCTTGCGCTGTGATATGCTGTGTTGCGAATAAATCTGCATCATTTTATCACAACACATACACCAGCACAGCTCACAAACAATATTTAACATAAGTTGCTTTTTTACATTTTTGCGTTATTTCATTTTTTTTACCAGTTTGCAAAAAAGCGCAATTTAAAATTTACAAATGTGTTATTTATTAACTCAATACAGTTATATCTTTTAGATTTAGTCCAAAAAGTATTTTTTGTGTGCACTGATACTGATTTTAGTGTGCTTTTATCAATTTAATTGTGTATTTTAATCGGCCTAATATTGATTTGACAAACATTTGCGCAATTATCGCAGGACCTACAAAATTAGTAGCACCATTTTTTTATTTTACCGGGTCTGTACTTTCAGAAAATATATGATTTGGGGGGTCTTTTACAAATGCTAGCAATGCAGCAATAGAACATCAAAACAATGGGAAATGGCAAAAATGTTGTTGCCAGCTGAGGTTAAAAGTGTTCCGGAGGGCTGGGCAGCGAAAGAGTTAAACCCCTATCTCTTAGGACTTGAGCTTCAACAGCCACACCATAAAATCCAGTCACTGAGAAACAGGGTGACAGACTGGACCTTGAGAGGAGTAAACCCTGTACCTCCGTTGCTGCCGCTCCTGATATCCACGGGGCCCGGTGCGGCTGGGACAGGCACGGCGACGCTGTCAGTGGAGATCGAAGGGAGTTCAGTACACCATCTGGTCCCCGAATGCGGGAAGTGATGTGTATTACGCATTCAGTGTCACTCTCTGGTTACAGATGGCGGTGAGAAGCTGATGAAGCAGATCTCTGCTTCATCAGCTTCTCTGGGGGTCCCTAGGTGACAATAGCCCTATTTTTTTCGTCAGTGGAACGGAACGCAGGCAAAGTTGAAACGGTGCCGTTGAATTCAATGAACTGCCACGCCGCCTACCGCCCTAGAACGCGGGTGGAAGTTTCGTTAGCGATCGCAGTGCGTTCCAGCAGCTACCGCTCTGGAATGCACCGCTTTTGGTGTGAACAAGCCCTGAGTCTAAAAAAAAAAAAAGTAAAACAAATGTTTTTTTTAGTCTCCCGCCCCCCCACATACACATGCAAACATGCGTCTGGTGCGCCAACGTGCAAAAGCGGCGATTCCGCCTATTGTGTCGCACATGTTACATGTCACAGTGAGAGCAATAATTTTAGGGCCATTAATTACTGATAATACTAAACTGAATAGCGGTAAAAGCTTTTAAAGTGTCGCCTATGGCCTGTCAGAATGTTTACTCAGATAAAAATAAACAATTCTTTATTTATGAAAATAGGCCAGGATCTTCTTTCACAAATAAACAAAAATAATAACTCGAGTTCATTTTATTTGCGCTAACCTGAAGACAAACATGAATACAATAGCTGTGCAAAAATATATATATTTTATTATTAACTAAGAAATCAGTGCAAAAATTATAATCAAACAATAATTGGTGATACACAAGAAATCAATTGGATCAAAGTTTCAATAAAATTGATCAACACAGATAATGAGAAAAATAAAACCACAGGATATTATTTCAAATATGAATGAAACAAAACTCAGTAACTCCTGGAATGCAGTTAGTAGCTTGTCATTAGCTCAGCAGAATGTAACAACACAATTTACAGATTTGACACGTGATCTCTCTGACAACAGATATTCAACCGCTCAAAATTTATACTGCGCAAGATATATCATGCACAGAACTGGCTCTTAGCCAAGTTTCTATTCAAGTCAAAAACAAACTTCCACTAAATTATTTTTAATTTAAAGTATACACCACAACCACACCGTAGACTAAACTGAAATCAGTTTCGGAGAGATATATAATCAGTAAGAAACAAATCAGTTTCGGAGAGATATGTACTGCAGTTAGAGTGATCTGAATTCAAATCTCGATGCTACTAGGACCAAATGGTTTAGTAATGATGTATATGGTTATCAATTGCCTGCAGATAAATAGAAATGATACTTTACCAAAAATGTTTAGCTCTTTTTGTCTGAGAGATTTCAGCTTTGTGTCGACGGGCCTTGGACAGCCTGTCAATCAGCTTCAGATCTCCCGTATGAAGAAGAAACTCTCGTATAAAGAATAATCCAGTATGAATTCAGTGTCAAGAAAAAGAATCCTCCAACCCCCGAAGAAGAATCATCCTCCTCCTCCTCATCATCTTCTTCTCCTAACTTTTTATCACCCAAAAATGTGGGCCTGGTTTGCTTATCTTTTATTTTTAATTATGATGCCAGAGGGGTGTGACTTTCTAACACGATCCCTGTGACTACCGGAAGAGGGCAATGTTGGATTAGAAATCACTCTTGGACCTTCTTTAAAACTTCAACATAAGATTGAGAAGCAATTTGCTGACACACTGGTTACCTTAAAATTCTTCACTATAGGTCTTATTGTCCAATTCTTTTAGTCTCAATAGTTCTGACAGGCCATGTGTGGTGTCTATTTACCCGACATGATCCCGTCTTTTATGTTTTACCAAAAAATTGGGGTGATAATAAATGTTTCATAACATTTCATAGGGAATTTCACAGCTGTAATTTTTTAGGTGCAATTAGGGATTCCTGTGTCAGGAATGCCAAATCTGACGTTTACAAGTGGCAGCTGTCACTCATTCAAGTTAATAATCAGGTGATAGCAGCTCCATGTAAACGCCTGAATACCGCATGTAATGATACATGATATGATTACATTCGGTTAGAAATCAATCACTCTCCCTGGACACATGGATTGTGCATCCAGCGAGAGTGTTTTCTAACCGCAGTAGTGTACTGTCGTGTTTGTGAGCTGTATGTAGTCTGCTGCTTTGTCGATATAGCATAACTGATGGAAATAAATATGCACTAATGGCCAAGATATTTTGGAATATAGACTAATCGTATAAGTCCTATACAATCTTACATATTTGTTGTAAATTTTCAATATATGTAATTTTATTTATTTAGTGTTTTCTTCCCACAGACTCTGATGCTGTTCCCTCACTACCCAGCTATGGCAAAAGGTATATATAAATATATACAGTAAAGTAATCCATTAGGTTGGAATGGAAGCCATTGGTCTCTTAAATGGTAATTTTACATCCAGGAGCATGACATTATAAGTAAACTGCCATATCTAATAGACTGACCTTTTAATGTAAGATATAAAAGCTATATTAAGAAAGTGTTTCTCAGTAACTCAGTAGCCATTTAACATACAAAACAAAAAACACCAGGCGCCTTTCCTGGTGCAAATAATCCTTTTTATTTGTTTACAAAGCTTAAAAGTGATAAATGGTACTCACAAAAGAGGTGGATAAAAAGCGTGTTGGACATAAAATCTCAGGATACATGCAGATTCGAGAAAACAATCCAAATATGCTGCTAGACCAGCAGAAACAAGCTGACTCGGCTGAACGCGTTTCCCCTTCTTCAGAGCTAGACGGCTCAACTAGCTTGGTGCAAATTTATATCGAGTGTTCGATTACACAAGCCACTATGAGATTGGAAGCTGACTCATCACAGCAAAGCATTCTGTTAAGGTGCCCATACACCTTACAATTATCTGCAGACTTTCTGTGGTCAGATGGAAAAAGTGCAACATATTCCTCCATCTATGCTAAACTGTGTGGATGAAGTAATCTCCCACTGGGCCAATCTTCAGTATCTTGCTAGTCGGCCCCCCTAGCAAGATACTTGCTGATCAGCCGGGCTGACCAGCAAGATTACGCAAGCTTGGCCCAGGTGGAGATTACTCCAGACACACAGTTAAGTGTAGATGGAGGACTCTGTTGCACCTTTTCCATCTGACCACAGAAAATCTGCATATAATTGTAAGGTGTATGGCCAGCTTTGATACTTCCTCCCTGTCAAAATGCCCAATCAGAGCTGAGAGGGCATCATCAAGGCAAATGCCTGATCTCCACAGATGAAGACTCCTGCACAATAAATTCATAATTATACATAAGAACACTCCAGATAAATTAAGCACCAATAGCATCACATTTGAAGCTGCACCTGATAAAGGAATGTCTTCTATAATGTCTTAAATGTTTTCTAAAGGTCCCCACACACCTTACGATCGTAAGATAATCGCGGGAAATCCCGCGATCGTATCATTATCGTAAGGTGTGTGGAAGCCGTGCAACTTCTACTACTGTAAGGTCGCACGACTTTAAACTTACGAACATCTTTGCAAACCCGCCGAGCATCGTACGATGTTCGGCGGGTGTGTAGCATGTTCGTAAGATAACAGCCCGACGGGCCGGTGTGCGCACGCGCACACTGCCCGTTCGGCATTGTGGTCATCGGAAGCCCGCCCCTCAGCGGGCGTGGCTTGCGATCATCGCAAGTACGATCAGCCTATGCAAGTTTTTTTTAAGTACCTCACAACCATCGCAAGACAAAAGTCTAGCGATGGTTGTAAGGTGTGTGCCCAGCCTTAGACGGTGATTCTAAACATACCTCAGAGGCCACCAACAGCTACTTTAAAATTAAGCAAGCTGTAAAACCGCCTTAACTCTTCTACGCAACATGTAACTGGCCACCTTCCCCTCTTCCGAGCATCCCTCACCATAGTTCACTGGCTCTTGTAGAAGCCTAGGACCAGAAACAACATCTTCAGGATGGTGATCACGGTGGGGGTGGGGACCTGTAATTAGGTCTGGAGCCAAGCGGGGTACATGCTAACTGATGGAGGCTTTGGCGTGGACCTAGCACTGGCCACTGTGGGAGGGGTGCTCAATGCGGTGCAGTGTTTGAAGAATCTGTTGGTCTGGTTACATGTGTGCTATGAGACAATGGAGTTGATTTACTAAAAGCAAATGTGCTGTTCACTTTGCAAACAAATTGTCCATTAGCTTAGTGACTGAGGTTAACCTCTGCTGACTTCCAACATCCATTCATGCGATAGGAAAAATACTGTTTTGTTTTCTTGCACGTAATTGGATATTCTTTGCAAAGTCAATTTTCACCACATTTTCTTGTGCTTTTGGGTCAGTAGTGGTGTACGTCTTAGAGTTCTGGCATGGAAACCTTCTGAGTTTGCCTTACTGTGCAAACTGAAACCTCAGGGCTTGTTGACACCAAGTCTTGCTTTCAGGTCTTTTGCAGTCACTCGAGGGTTTCTCTCAACCTGCCTTCTCAGAAATCTGGTTGCAGCCATTCCTTTTTCTGCCCTGTCCAGGTAGTTTAACCACTGTTCCTTTAGAACTTGCGAACAATTTTTCCAACATTATCTCTAGGAACATTTTGTGCCTTTGCTATCTTTTTCTATCCTGTTCCTTGTTTGTGAATGGCTATGATCAACGCTCAACTTTTTTTGACCATACTTGTGACTTAGACCTATTTCTAACATTCAGTCGAATGTCACTCAACAAACCCCTAGCCAGTTCAGGTATTTCATGTGTTCTAGCTAGGGATGCACTGAAATTTTGGCCGCTGAAAATTTAGGTCGAAAATGGCACTTTGACACCAGTATGTTTCGGCATGATTTGGTGCCGGACCTCACTGGATCGCATCCCGGCCGGCTCACTGCATTCCGGTGCGGGAGGGGGCGTGGTGGTGCATCGAAGTCTGCATGCACTATTTTTTCTGATTGGTCCAAAACGCAGGCATTGATGCTCCACGCGTTCTGGTGCGGGCGATCGCCCTGCGGCCGGGGGGCGTGGAAGGGCCATTGACTTCACTACCCTGCCACGCCACCTCCCGCTCCAGAACCCAGTAAGTTGGCTGGGATGCGATCCAGTGTTTTCCGTCACTGAGCCATGCCGGAATACACTGGGGCTGGCGCTCTGCACATTCTTGTCACCTTGATCAGTGGAGATCAAAGGGAGTCAGTACACAATCTCCCTTTGATCTCCTCTCTGGTCCCTGAATGCAGGAAGTGATGTACATTACATCACTTCCGCATTTAGTGTCACTCTCCGGCAACAGATGCCGGTGAGAAGCTGGTGGAGCGGATCTCTGCTTCATCAGCTTCTCTGGGGGTCCCTAGGTGACATTAGGGGTCTTGGAGACCCCTGATGTCTCCATAAAGAGGACCTGTTATGTGAATTGGCTATCACATAGGGGGCTAAGAAACCCCCTATGTGATAGCAATAAAGTTAAGTGTAAAAAAAAAAGTTGAACAAAAATTAAACCATAAAAAAAAATAAAAAGGCTTAAAAAAAGTCACAAATAACAAACATGAAAAATAACACAATGTTTTTTTAAGTCCCCCGCCCCCCTCCCCACAGACACATGCAAACATGCGTCCAGTGCGCCTACGTGCGAAAACGACTATTCCGCCTATTGTGCCGCACATATTACATATCCCCATGAATGTCGCAGTAAGAGCAATAATTTTAGGGCCATTATTCACTGATAACACTAAACTGATGAGCGGTAAAACCTTTTAAACATCGCCTATGACCAATTTTGGGTGTGGCCGTTTACTGCGATTTTGCGGGCACACGCAATTTTAAGGCTTGACATGTTTGGTGTCTATTTACCGGACTTGACCCCGCCTTTTATATTTTACCAAAAAAATGGGGTGATAAATGTTTCATTTCATGGGGAAATAGTTTTGTTTTCAAAATTAGGGTACTTTTTTTGTTATAGTAAAAAATAAAACCACCAGTGGTGATTACATACCATCAAAAGAAAGCTCTATCTGTCCCCAAAAAATGGTATAAAATTTGTTTCAGTACAGCGTTGCATGACGGAATACAGGTCAGTCAAAGTACCGCAGCGCTGAATACGGAAAAATGGCCTGGCCAGGAAGGAGGTTTAACACCCTGGTTTTGCAGAATCAGGATCAGATGTCAATAAAGGCTTCTGATCGTTCCAACAACGATCAGAAGCCTGCAACATTGTTTCAACAAAAGAAGCTAAATATTTCTATTGCTGAAACTTTAGAAGAAAAAAAAGCCAGTATACATCGGGATTTCCTAATCCCGATCTATACCAGCTGTCAAAGTGTGACGGCAAAGCTGTAAATACCGCTCTGCTCTCACTGTCAGACACCCGATTCCTGAAAGGGGATCGGGTGTCCGAAAAAGCTTAACTCTTTCATTAATAGAGGCCTCAATACTGAGGCATCCATTAATAACCGGTCACCGGTGATTCTCAGCGGTTAACAGCATTACAAAGGCCCAAATAGCTGATCACGTGCAGTTTACGTGATCAGTCATTTGGGCACTTAGTGGCTGGGATGTACAGTGTACGTCTCCCATCACTAAGGGGTTAAACATGTTATGATGAAGGAAATGTATCTGAGAGGAGAGGGTTGACAGAGAGGGTTAAGCGAATTGGGGCACCAACAGCATCGATCTGATTTTAGACACCAGGTCTTCTTTGGTACCTGTCCAGGTCAAAAGCAAATCACCAATGTCGCACTTGTAGAGTAAATCCTTCTCCCCAAGCAGCAATAAGCAGGAGCAGTGACCGTTCACTCTGATGCATAAAAATATTAGCAAAAGATTGGGCTACATTAAAACCCATGGCTCTCCCAGGGGTTTGCACAAAAAATTTATTCTTAAATTTGAAATAGTTGGGTGTTAGGATTTCAACAGGAGGTAATGTTGTGACTGAAATAAAGCTTGACACATAGTAATGAAGCCATCACTATGAGTGACAACATTATATAGACTTTTGACATCCAAAGTGGCCAAATATGAACCTGAAGGGATAGAACCTAAATCAAGTACAAGTTCTATGACTGAAGTAGAGTCACAAAGAAAAAAAAAAAGGAATATTGGCTACAATGGATTGCAGGAAGTGATCCACAAAAATTGCAAGGGACTGTAAGAAGGAGCCACCGGGTGATCTAATTGGCTGTCCGGATGGATGAGTAGAGTTCCTGTGTATGTGTCGTAACGTGTAAATAATCAGACCCTTAAGATATTGAACTGACTGGAATTTACTGGCTCATTCTTGCTTATCCAAACATGATAAAAAGCTTTAGCCCTGGTTCACACCTAGGCATTTTTGAGCAGTTCGAAAAGCGCTTTTAATTGCCCAACACAAGAAATTCCATGATCTTCAATGGTTCACACCTGAGCAGAAAAACGCCTAGCAGGAAAACGCCAGACGCCTGAAAAGATACAGGAGCTTCTTTGGGCAGTTAAAAGCGCTTTTCCTCCCCGTAGACTTCATTGGAAATGCCCAAAAATGCTCAACAGAAGCATGCTGTACATTTTCGTGAGCGGTTTTGCGCGTTCTTCCATTGCCCACAATGGTTTATGAGCTGCCAATCAAAACGTGCGTCTTCATGTACGTGTGTTAAAACATGCATACAAATGTGCACAACGCACAAACACGCAAATAACCGAATGCTGCGAATGCACGTACAAACGCGCACAGATGGTGCAGCCTAGGTGTGAACTAGGGCTTTAGAGATTAAGCCATCTACAATTTTATCAATAACTCATAGTGATCGTAGGAGCAAACAAAGCCCCCCCCCCCTTGTCTGCTGGGTGCAAGACAAGAGTATAGTCATTTGCCATCTCCTACACTGCAACCCATTTAGTTCTGTACAAATTGTTATACGTGTGGTGGTGTTTAAGCACCTGTGAAATCTGTCGGATTTGATGAATAACAGATGCTTCCTAAGTTCATCTCACTTTAAATTTAGATGTTTCAGGGCTTGATGGTCAATTGTTAAGTCTTTTTAAGTGGCAACATTCTTTTCTTTCAAATTGTGTATATGTGCAGACTGTGTAATAAGTGTGTGTGTGTGTGTGTAATATATATATTAAGGAACTGAAAAATCTTTCTTCCGATATGCTGAGAAGCATGCTGCACAATAATGTTATGTCAAAGAAAAGCCATAGTCTATAATTTTAACAAAATGTGATAGTTTAGAAGCGCAGAAGCTTTTTCTAGCAAAAGGCTTCAAAATACTTAATTGTCTAATATATCCTACCTGTTCTAGCAAATAACATCCAGAACATCCTATAAGGAGTTCTTGTTACTTTGTTAAAATATGGGATAAATCTTAAATGTAGATATCCTAAAAACAAAAAGCTTCCATTATCTCATGGTGGGGAAAGCTAATCATTTTTTTGTATTCTAATCAGTTCCAGGCCCTTGTGAACCAGACGATTTGCTGGATGGGGTTGTTTTTGGGGCCAGGTATCTTGGATCTACACAATTGGAATGTGCAAGACACCAGATGGCAAGTACCCGAATGAGACAAGCGCAAGAAGCAGTGGACAGGGTCAAGGTGAGAGAAGTAAAAACTACTGCTGTTCAGGTGACAGTAGATGGAAAATCTAAGTTGAGTTGAGTTAGATGTGTAATGCAAAATAGGTACAAAGTAAAAAGCAAAATACAATAAAAAGCAAAGTATCAATAAAGTATATAAAAAATATCTGCATAAATGAACAATAAACATGATAGCTGTGATATGGCAGAGGTATGCCTAAACAGAACTAGACATAAAATGGGGTAGAATTATAAAGTAGCGCACGTGTCACTGGAGGTGAATTACACTTTCATTTAAAACACATGCACCTGGAAAATTCAACTGCAGTGAATGTTTGATAAAAATCACTTTATAAATATAACACCAATGTATTACAGCCAGCTCAAAGAGGGAAGCGGGAACTCTGAAAACAACACTGTCAAATACAGAGAGCAATGCAAGCACTAAATATATTTAGAAAAATGCAGAGTAAAATGCACTTGCAAAACCGGATTTCTTTCTCACCCATTGAGGGACACAGGAAGTCACAGGTGGTTTATATTGTTAATGCTGCTACCGAGATCAAAGGGAGTTCGTATACTGAACTCCCTTTGATCTCCTGTCACAGGGAAGCTGCTCGTCGGGCTCCACTGTCTGCTCGTCACAGACGAGTGGACGAGTGGATTTTTCGAGCCCTGTATATATATATATATTTTTTTTTATACATAAAGAAATAGTAATGTTTCCAACGTTTTTGCTAACACATTTTTACTCTCAGATTTGTATTCATTTATTTCAATCAAGATTCTTTTTCTACATCGTCGCTGGAGTTTATCTCTCAGATTTACAGCAAGCTAGTGCAGTCATCTTCAGCCTGGCTTTTAGAGTATAACATCAGGACCCCCACCTGAACTAGACACTGTGGGGACAGCCCAGAAGTAACTTTGAGGAATTGGGCTCCGCATGGGGGGGTTTCCAAACTCCATTCTGGTAAGTTAGCAGCTGAGTCTCTGGCATTGTCCTGTCTTTGAAGAATGACTAAATGAGTAGGCCTGTCAGGCCAAGCATTGGGAGCTACCTCTTTAACATTATTATACCCTGCTGTTTTTTCCATGAAAGGGGTTAATGCTGTGGGATTGAGCGCTGACATCAGCCACTGGTCAAAGTGTTGTGCCTGCTTGCCCTTCGTACTCTTGCCTACCGTACAGTGTTTCTGCTACTAATTTCAAGAGCTACGTGGAACTTTGATGTTTGATGCATTCCTACTGGCCACCCACAGTGGCTTTGGTCAGTCTGGCCATCTGACCCTCAACTGCTACCAACTGTCTGGGTTTAGTAAGTACCTGGGTCCTTGCTTTCCTACCCTGAGCCTATACATTGCCTTACTGCCACAAGGTCACAACATATCTGATTCCAGAAACAGAGGGGACAGTCCCCCACTGTTCCAGGTGCCCCTGACAGTGCTGATGTCTGCAGCCTGGAGTCATGTTGCACTGCTTTTGGAGTTTATCACATCCTCTTTGGCTCCATAGGGTACAGCATCTCTTAGACTGGTTCTTGACACTATTGTCAAAGATGCTACTGGTGCAAGAGCACCCATCTTGCCTAAAGAACTGACTGCAAAGTCTTTTCCCTCTGTGAATGTTAAGAAATGTTCCTTTTTGTTTCTGCACTCCCACATCCTCCTTGTCAAGACCACCCAAGCTTTGTATCCAGTCCACCTTCAAGGTCTGACACTCAGTCTGCCAGATCCTCAGAAAAGCCTTCCACTGCATGAAGGTGTGGGGACCACTGTCTAGAGTTGTTAACCCTTGCGGATGCTTGGACAGCTTGCATCTCAGACAATTAGGTGCAGAATGTGATACCCCAGAGCTACAAACTGGAGATTCACTCACTGCCCCCTCCTTGGTTTTTCACCTCCAACTTTCCTGTGTCACTGAACAGATTAGCAGATCTCTTGGGTCTTCATTGCCCCAGTTCCTGCAGCAGAACAGTTTTAGGGATTTTCTTCCAACCTTTTCAGCGTTCTCCAACCCAAAGGGGGGTAATCCCCATTTTAGATCTCAAGGCTCAGAATGTACTAATGCGGATTAAGAAATTCTAAATGGAATCCATTAGATCTGTCTTCTCCTCTCTTCACTCAGTAGACTTTCTGGCCTCTGTGAAGATGATTATTTACATGTCCCAATCTCCAGTGCATCAGTGGTTCCTACGCTTTGCTGAGGGGCCCCCCATACGTCCAGTTTGTGGCCTTGCCTTTCCACCTTTTTTGTCTGCACCTCAGGTATTCAGCAAGGTGCTGGTCCCACAGTTAGCTGTCCTGTAATCTAGTGGCATCCCCATTGTGGGATACTTGGATAACTCGCTGTTGAGGTAGCCATCACCATGGACTGTTGGACAATGTGTCTTTGATTGTCCAGATGTTACAGTTGTTTGGATGGATCCTGAACCTTCAGAAATAGTTGCTGGAACCAACTCATTGTGTGGAGTATCTGGGTCTAGTCCTGGCACAACTCAAGCCAGTGTTCCTTCTACAGGAGGAACCTTTAGACTTTCTTTATATCCATGCATTTGATCCTCCTTTCTTCCTCCCCCTACAAATATGGAGGAATAGGTCTTCCTGAACCTCATCTCACATATATGTTTAAATGGTGTTGTCGTGCTCATCATGCTCATGAAATGATGGGTTCAAATTGAGCAGGACAGGGTTCCAGTGCCCCTTCAATGTCTCCCTTGGCTCCCTTTATGCCACTCACAAGCTCTCAAAATCCATCCAACCATTGTAGATACCTTACATGTTCTCTAACAGATTTTCCCCTTAGCAGTGAGCACTTCTCACCCTTCACCCATTATGCCAGTTGTAGGCCACCAGGCATAGACAACATTGCAATTAATCTTGATTCCTCCACTTCCCTTTCTCAACAGCTTGGTTAAGTTCAGAGAGATTCCAAAATCTATTATCTCTGCTGGATGACTGGGCAGCCTACCAACGTTGCCAGTTTTGAAAGTGATCCCATGCTACCCCCAACTTGCCAGGCACACCACCCCCCTAGGGACCTTTGCCGGGAAAAGCCCCCAAACTTCCATTTACGCTCCTACCTATACAAGCTTATAGCAGATCCTCCTAATGATGTCATACCTCCTTAAATCTGAAGATGACCTTCAAACTGAATTCAGCACCGCACAAATATTTAGAGCTAATAACTTAATTCACACATTGTCTAAAGCAAATTGATTCCAGGAACAGGGATACAAGCTATCCTGATACTAATACTGATACTGATGCAGGGTACAGACAACATTTCCCAAAATGTACCTACAAATTACCGTGACCTGTTGGAGCTGCCATTCTGCACCAGACACGCACGCCTTCCACTAGTGCATCTGTTCTGGGGTATAAAAACAAAAACATACAAATCCTAATTCCCTTTTTGTCATCCAGGATGGACCCTGAAAGGGTGCATCGGCATGTTGTTCCACCATCTCTAGGTGGCTCAAGGTCCCCACACACCTTACGTTAATCGTACGATAATCGCGGGAAATCCAGCGATCGTACGATTATCGTAAGGTGTGTGGAAGCCGTGCGACCTCTACTACTGTAAGGTCGCACGACTTTAAACTTACGAACATGTTTGCAAACCCGCCGAGCATCGTACGATGTTCGGCGGGTGTGTAGCAGGTTCGTAAGATAAAAGCCGGACGGGCCGGTGTGCGCAAGCGCACACTGCCGTTCGGCATTGCGGTCATCGGAAGCCGTCCCCTCAGGGGGCGTGGCTTGCGATCAATCCAAGTACGATCTGCCTATGCAAGATAGGCAGATCGTACGTTTTTTTAAGTACCGTCCAACCATCGCAAGACAAAAGTCTTGCGATGGTTGCAAGGTGTGTGCCCAGCCTCAGACAGATCATCTTTCCAGTTTACAGTCTGCACGTATCAGATTTTACCCTTTCCTGTCAAGGTGCACTCTACATCTGTGAATTCTTCATGGTCTTTTCAGCACCAAGTAATGGTTTCTCAAATTTGCAAAGCTTCAAGCATATCTTTCCTGACTTTTTGGTGTCATCTAATGCCAGCTTCGGGTGCAAGGTCCTTTTAGGCTGCGTTTGAGCTGTAGGAAGTCCCAAGTTATCTGTTGTTTTTTTTTTGTTATCTGTTAGTGTTTGCCCCTCAATAAACAAGAAAGAAAATTAGTTGTACATTGTAAAACCCTCTTCTTGAAGTCCATTGAGGGACATAAGTCCCATCCCTCTGTATTTATGATCATGTTGTTATTACTGCTTTGCTACAAAACTAGGACATGCTGGTAGTAGGATGGATTATTCTGGCTTTGCCAGTGTCTAATACTCCTGTAGGCAGCAGTATAACCCAAAGGTTAAAGACTTATGTGTTCCTCTACAGACTCAAAGAAAAGGATTTTACAAAATAGATAAAAAACATTTTTGTCTACATACCTCAGACATCACTTCCTGCCACTGGCCAGGGCAAGTTTGGGAGATGGGCAGGGACTGGTTGTTACCCACTAGCTTTTTTCACTGTTACACCACCAGCATTTGTGAGTGCATTTTAGTTTGTTTTTTCAAGAGTTTTTTTCTACATATACAACACTAACCACTGCTCTTTCTCTGGTTGTTTTTGACAGTTGTTTTGTGAAGGTGAGAGTTGAACCTAAATTAGATCTCTGATGTGGTTACTGTAGCAACAAGTGAAGGTAATGCTTTGTACTATAATGTATTTACTTTTTGGTTTAATTTTTTTTGTGTGTAAATTTTCAGGCACCAGATGGAGAGTCTCAACCCATGACAGAGGTGGATGTTATGGTTTCCACAAAATCTATTAAAGTGCTGACCGCAAATACACAGGTTAGAATTTATTATGTGCCTTTTTTGCTTATAGTAATAAAATATATAGTGGATAACTTTCATATGATTTTTTTTCATTTGTACAATTTTTTTATTATTGCAACTTTAGGAAGCCTTGATGGACCACCCATTGCAGACAATTTCCTATACAGCTGACGTTGGCAGTATTGTGGTTATTATGGTACACAGAAAATTACCCCGTAGCTCAGACAAGCCTTCCTCCAATAAAAGACCACATAGGATTATCTGTCATGTCTTTCAGTCAGAGGATGTAAGTGACAGCAACATTTCTTGCCACCCTTCCTTTTAATGTCTTAATGGGCAAAAAAAATATGTAATTTTAACTGCCCTTTGATTCTTTTTAAGCATGTCCATTTATTACTAGTTTTCTGCATACACAGAAAAAACAATAGGTTGTATAGTGTTTTTGGGGGGATGGGGAAATCAAAGCCTAGACAGACTGCATTAACTTCATTCCTTGTGCTCTGTAGTTGCCTCCCCATACTAGCACTGTTTATGGGATTTATGCAGATTTTAATAATAAATTGGGATTTTATCTAGAAATATTACAGATTTTGGTTTCTTACAATTTGATTCAATCTTTTTGGAGTGAATTATTTTATTATAAAAACTTAAGTAGTAAATATGCCTTGTTTTATTACTTTTTGACTGTTACATTTTGCTGTTCTGCTTAGGCACAACTCATTGCTCAGGCCATTGGTCAGGCCTTTGCGTTGGCATACCACAATTTTCTTCAGTCTGAGGGTGTAGAACCTGAGCAAACTGAGAAAACACGAATGACTGAACGGCTCTACAATGCAGATCTTGCTCACTTTACCAAGCAAGACAACTGCAAAGAGGTAGGTATACATGTACTGCCATGGGTATAGGGCAGGGGTAGGCAACCTTAAACACTCAAAGAGCCATTTGGACCCGTTTCCCACAGAAAAAAAAACCCTGGGAGCCACAAAACCCTTTTGACATCTAAAATGAAGATAACACTGCATATATCGTTTTTTTTCCCTTTATGCTATGTATAAAAGAACTATAGTGTGTTGCATTTATGAAATCAATGAACTGCTACAGAGAAAACACCTGCAGCAAACCAAAAAATGGCGTCTGCTCTGTGTGCCGTCATGCTTTTTTTGCATGTGTACTGGAGCGTGCAGGCAGCTGTCAACCCGAATAATAAAAAAAAGGACTATTTCACTGAACAATGTAAAATATATATTTGCAAAATAATAGCCAATTAAAATATTTATTTTACCTGGTTAATGTGATTTTTGCGCCTGAACCTCAGCGCACAGCGTCTGCACATCAGGGCTGTAAGACGTCATCTTCACACAGAATTGTAAGTTGTCATCTGTGAGGCGTGAGCGATGTTTGTTTTTAATATAGTTCATGTTGGAGAAGACCTGCTCACATACGTATGTGGATCCGAAGATCGACAGGACTCCAAATGCATACTTTTTCATGTTCATATAAGTGTCGGGGATGGCATTCCATGTTTCGAAAGCAAGTTTGTCCGGTTTGGGAAGGTTTTCAATATCACTCCATTTGTGATTCTCAGCAAGAATGGCCTTATGGCGGGCAACATCTTCAAGATTAGCTGTCAAACATTTGAACTTGGACACCCATATATCTTTGTCGTCTATGTCGGCCAGTTCAATCTCAAGATCGGGTTGACTTACACCTGCAGATGCAGTCATATTCAATAGGGATGGATCGATGGTCAGGGGAGTGACAGGGAAGGATAATGTGTCTTTTTCCTTTCTGAAGTCACAGAATCGTTTTCCAAACGATGTTTGCATTGCGGAGATTGCAGGCTGCAAATACTCCGAATGTATTATATCATGAGCTTGTTTGAACTCTCTCAAAGAGGGGAAGTGAGACAGTGTACCTCTCTGTAAATCTCTGGCAAACACTGTCAACTTGCGCTTGAATGCCAAAACCTCCTCCAGCATATGTAGGGCTGTGTCTCCTTTCCCCTGAAGACTTGTGTTCAGGTGCGCTGTCATATCTACCATGAAGTGTAGCTTTTCCAGCCACTCTGGGCATTCCAGCTCAGGAAAAGTGAGCCCTTTGCTGCCCAGGTAAGTTTTCACCTCTTCCAGACATGCGGCAAAGCGTTTCAGCACCTCCCCTCTGGACAGCCACCTGACTTTGTTGTGCAGAAGGAGATCAGAATACATGCTTTCCACCTCGTCCAGTAGCTTCCCGTGCCTGAATATTTCCAAGCCACAAAACTAGCATATGTAGTTGCATTTGCAGACTTCATCCACTTCTTGAAATTATTTTTGCTCTGATCAACCTTCCGCTTCAGTTCTGAAACGGCTTTTCTCATCTCCATCCGCATATTTTCCAGCAAAGGCTGTGTGTTAATTCTGGAAATGTCTTGCAACATTCGACTTTTTGTTTGCAAATTTCTCACCACATATTAAGCATACTGGTAAACCAGTCTCGTCAGTAGTGAAAGCAAATGAATCTTCCCATGTACCATTAAACGTTCTATTTTCTTCAGAAATTTTTATTTTCTTGGATTTATCCATGTGCGTGTGTGGAGCCGTGAACAGGGCCATCTGATCGGAAGACGATTAATCGATTATTGAAAAAGTTGACAACTTTTTCAATAATCGATTATAATCGATTAGTTGTTGCAGCCCTAGAAAGCGATGAGTGGTTTCTTTGCCCTCTCTAGGATCGCCAGTGGGTCCTAGATCTTACACTATTACTTAACATGCCCTTACCATGAAAATATATCTGATATTTGGTCTGTTTTACATACAGTAAATTCTGAAAAGAATAGATTGTAAAGTAAAAGCATTAATAGCAAAGTAAAATATACTTACAATGAGGTTTCAATATGCATGAAGACAATTGATTTCACAATGAGACATTTCATAAAATACAGGGAAACACTCTGCAATTTGAATTCTTTTTTTTTTTTTTTATTGTATTTTTAAATCCTTTTTCTAAATGCAGCTGCTACCCTAGAAATGTTGGTGACTGCTTTAGGGCAATTATTATGGAAAATTCACACATGCTGGATTATTTGTATCCGACGACTTTTTAGAGTGATTAGCACTGCAGTTCTCTTTTTATTTTGTCATCACTGTCAATTCACAGAACTTTATTAGTTAATTTGCATTCTCACTGTTAACATCAGGTAGAAGCTGGTGATCTGTTTAGAAGCCAAATGTTTTGATCTTCATTAAATTACTTTTACATAAAAATATATAACATGATAATTTCAGCACCTTTGTTTTATTTTTATTTCAATATGTTTTTATTAAGGGTTTTCAATAAGACAGATGCATGACATATTGGCAAGCGCTGTAACAATACAATGGTAATGTTTAAGTCAGTAATAAATGTAAATTAGTATTTGTAAGCAAAATAAAATATGTTATAATAGAACAGTCAATTATTATCATCTTATAGCAACAAAGAAAGCGATTAAAGATAGGAAAAGGAATGAAGAACCAATACTGGTATTTCATTAACCAAACAAGTTTAGATCGTGTGAAGTCAGTACAATATAATGAATTTAACAGGGTTTGTATTTTAGGGTCCAAAATTTCCAAGTATTTTAAGTGAATCTCAAGTGGATTGGTGGAAAAATATAAATTCAGTATTAGCACACATTGCATGGGATTGAAACTACTACATGCATTAGGCTTTTATGTGAAATAAAACTGTTGTGTATTCTGTGCATATTTGGATGCTAGCTGTTTTTCTTTCCTAGTGATTATTTAGAGTGACCTGCTGGCTGGCATAGCATTAGTTGAGCTATATAAATTCATGGAGTTTTCACAGAACTCAACATATTTGATACAAAGTTATTTTGAGACGGATATGATGCCATACATTTCTAACTTTTTGCTGCTCTTGTGTAAATTAATCCATAGGTTTGTATCCAGAAACAACAAGGAGAAGTGCTGGGTGTGACAGTTGTGGAATCCGGTTGGGGATCTCTACTTCCTACTGTTGTCATTGCAAATCTTATGCATGGAGGACCAGCAGAGCGCTGTGGAGAGCTGAGCATTGGAGACCATGTGATAAGTGTCAATGGCACAAGCTTAGTAGGGCTTCCCTTTTCTACATGTCAGGAACTAATACGGGTGAGTTGGGAACTCTAAAGCATGTATGCTTTTCACAACCAATATGATCCAGTAAAGTCTGCATCTAAAACAGCAGAAAACTAGTAAAAAGGTAGATTGTATCGCTTCTCGGCCTTTTGTCTAAGATTTTAGTCAGACTTAAAAATAGCATATGCCAGTACACTGGGTTTTCCAATGATAACTGTGCAGCAACAGCATGAAATTAATCAATTTTTTACATCTCCTATACAATCATCCATTGTGTTTTCCAGGAGCTAAAATGTCAGTCTGAGGTGACCTTGAGAATTGTGCACTGCCCACCAGTTGTCACCGCCATCATACATAGACCTAATACTACCTATCAACTGGGCTTCTGTGTGGAAGATGGAGTGGTAACTATGATGTATTTAATTTATGTGCATCCATAGTATTCTTGTCCATATATATTTACAGTGAGTTTTTATACAGATTTGCAGCCTTGTCCGTGGAGGAATTGCTGAAAAAGGTGGAATCAGAGTTGGACATCGAATCATTGAAATAAATGGACAAAGTGTGGTGGCTACATCACATGACAAAATTATACAGACACTGCTGGATGCTACAGGGGAGGTAATGATTAGACCTAGGATTGTATTTGGGGTTATTTTAATTTACTTTTATGATTTAGGTCTTACTTATCGTATAGTAAATTTTAATCTAACACATATTCTTGCTGAAAATTGCTAGATGCCTCTTACACACATCACATAATTCTAATTGGTATTATAAATAATCTTTGACGATGGGTGTCTTTCAACAGGTCCAAATCAAAACCATGCCAGCCTCTACATACAGGCTGCTGACTGGTCAGGAGACCCCGACTTATCTCTGAAGAATAGCTGAATTCTTATCGAGTATACAAGGACAGCCTTAAAACAGACATGATGCTGAAGATCCAGTAATACTGTTGATATATGTAATAACATATCTCTACATGTGCAATTCATTTTATATCAAGACTTTGTTCATCCTTTCCTTGTCTGAGATGTTAAACAAGGACTGAATATTTAAGCTTGAGGCTTTGGCTACAGTTTAAAGTAAAATGTTAGTCATTTACGAACAGAAACCAAAAACAAGCTCAGTCATGAAGGGGTTAAAAGAAAAATCCCTTTTATGTCAGTAAATACAATGCAAGGAATTGAGCAATACTTATTGTACATCTTGGCAGAGGTCTGTAAATATTGAAGCCATTGCTGAAATCGCACACAATTAACATACTTGGGATATACAAGTAACTCCTCAAATTGGAACTCGGTGGAGTAAATCCAGGGAAAAAATGACCAAAGCGAGTACTTGGTGGGTAATGTGCACTACCATGAAGTGTTACATTGTGTAAATTAGAGTGGCCTGAGTTCTGCGAACCCTGTTAAACTCTAGTAGACTGATGGACACATGCAGACACTAGTTACCTGCACTTTTTGACTACTCGCAGACATGTGCACTTTAATTACATTAACTGGTGTGATATTCTGAATGTTTCAGATGATTAACTCACCGAACAAAGACCCTGACATCAGTGACAATGCACTTGTTTTTATATGGAATATAATAAATATATTCTTTCACTAAGCAATGTCTTGTTTGTGCTGCAGGCATTAAGGTAACTGTTATTAGTATAATCTACGGCCTTCATTTTCTCCCTGTGAGCGCTTACCACGGTTTTAATGAAATTCATTAAACATAGTTTTTGAAGTTAAAGCAAATGTTAAGATTTTTTTTTTCCCCCTTCATACAGCATGCATTTCACATTGGAACACATGTTCCTGTTCTGTTGAAAGAGTGGGTTTCCTTTGGTTCTCTGACTGAATGCTTACAGTTTTAAAAATCCAATCTACACTGTAATTTAACTTTCCTGGTGGTAATCCCGAGTGTGGCTCGGGGGTAAATTTTCCGTACCAAAAGTGGTAACCCCAAGCCACACTCGGGCATCGTCCGGGTTCCTTCTCTGCGAACGCCGGCATTCCAAGGGGGCGGAACCGGCGAGAAAATCAAAAGTAAAAAATACTGAGAGATTCATACCACCAGGGAGGTTAAATGAGACTCCTGATTCTGTAAATGTTTGAATGTATTTAAACACTATTTACAATACAGATGGGAATGCATTCTAACGCATGTGTCATTACACTGAGAACCCGGCAGAGCCGCTGTGCTATCACGGCGGCTCCGCCAGGTTCTCATTGTGTAATGACGGTTCAGCATCTCCTGGTTATCTAGTAACCAGGGGACGCTGGACTGTCATTAAACACTGAAAACCCGGCGGAATAGCGGCTTGTGAGCCACTGATGACAGCTATTAATTTGAAGGGGACAGTCCAGGGAACAGTTCTACTATAAGCTCACTTTAAATGCCAGGTCCGTACGGCATACTGAGCTGGCTAGCCAGAAGCACTTTTGTACCTCCGTTTGCCGTACATCCTTGGCAGCGAAAGGGTTAAAGGTGAACTATGGGGTTAGGGCTTTTCCCCATAGTTCTCCTTAGGGTAAGGGGAGGACACAATCTAGCGTCCTCCCATCACCCTATGCTCAGTATACCACGAGCTACAGCTCGCGGTATACTGAGACGCCGCAGCTAAAGCGGATCCCGACAATTATGTCTGGATCCGCCCAGCTGCGTGAGTGACAGCTGGCTCTGCCTATCTAGAGGCAGAGCCAGCTGTACCCACCCCCTCCTCCATCCGTTCCGCCAGTCAGCGCTGAAGGAGCGGGGAGGGGGGAACCCAGCCCTTCCCCTGTTACGGCAGAGAGCCGTGACAGGATCGAGAGGTGAGCGAACGCCAGTATGTGTTCGCTCACTTCCCGTTCTACTGAGCCGACCTGTAACAGTCTCATTGTCACAGGTCAGCTAGAACTATGAGGTGAGTGAAAAGCACTCGCCTCATAGTTCTCCTTTAAATTATCTTCCCCTTTGAACCCTCTGACACAGTTACTGAGGGAAAGGAAAATGGAGTGGAAAACGTTATCCCTCCTAATAATTGTCCCGTAAAAGGAGTGTCTTTGGAACCTTCTTGTACACTGGGGGAAAGAGATATAACTTTTTAGACATTTTTAGCCTTTCAGGAAGTGGTTGGTTGATACATGCCACGGACAAGTCCTGACCCTGCTTAAAGGAGAACTATGAGGTGAGTGATTTCCACTCATTCTCATAGTTAGAGCCGACCTGTGACAAAGAAGCTGTCACAGGTCGGATCTATCGATCGGAAAGTGAGCAGAAACATGCACTGATCCGCTCACATCCTGATTGTCTCCCTGCAATGAGCAGTGACTGTCAGCCACCGCTCCCCGCAGGGATTACCCCCTCAACGCTCTGATCCTCCAGCGCTGAGTGGGGGAACGAAAGGGGGAGGGGGCGGCACAACTGGCTCTGCCTCTAGATAGAGTAATCGGTAACTTACGCAGCTGGGTGGATCCCGACAGTATTGTCGGGATCTGTCCCGGCTGCAGTGCTCTCAGTATATCGTGGGCAATAGCCCGCGATATACTGAGCTTTGGAACAGTAGAAAGGCATCATGGCACACTCACAAACCAGCATGTAAAACAACTTGTCTCACCACTAAGGACAATGACAGAGGTTTGGATACACGTCTTCTGCAAAGGATGTGTAAGCCGCACTGCCGCGCCAAGGCACCTCTTATAGTGCGGTCCTAACTCTAAACTATGAGAGTCTCCATCTTGGAGCACATGGGGGCAGAAGATATCAAATTGGGTGCAGGCCTGTCAGGAGGACGCCCCACCTCCTTAAAGGTACAGAAACACACAAGGAATCCCGCACATCCCATTGGCAGCTAAGAAACCCCATGCGTCGCTGCACCAAATCGGTGTTTTACATGCTGGTTTGTGAGTGTGCCATGATGCCTTTCTACTGTTCTACTGTTCAAAGCCCATTTCGTGTGCACCTTACTGTATAACTGGTAACAAATTGTTGAGTGCGTTTGTCGTTTGTTTTGCTATACTGAGCTTTGGGTCACGGGAGGAGGAGGTTAGTATATGTCCTCCTGTGACCGCTGTGATATGTACAGCGGCCCACTCCAGACCTTTTAGTCCAAGTGTAGGTTCTGGATTCTATTCCACTACAAGCCTTGGGCTCTCAAACCTTTTCTAGCATATGAGCAAGTCCTTTGCAGATTGTAGGGAGGCCCCCCACTCCTCTATGTAGAAGGGGGTTCTGTTTGCCTTTGCAACCTCCTGAAGTTTTAACTTTTCTGATGTGGGTGTAGAGGATGTAATATCCAATGATAGCTAATATTTCTGTTTCTGTCTTCAGGTTTCAGACTTTCAAAACTGCCAATCTTCCTGTTAGGGCTAGCAGGCGTTCGAGCACTGTGGCTCAACCACCCCCTTTTTGGACTATCTTATCTCCAAGCTCAACAACTATTGAGCAGGTATGTCTCCAGGGACCCTTTAGCTTTCACAGTACATACTCTCGTGCCTCCATGGTATAGGTTCATTCTGATCCACCTTTGCTTCTGAGACTCACTTCTCATCTGCTTTGCTGGAGTGACATGGATGATTTATCAATGCACCAAGCTGGTCCAGGCGGTAGTAGTACTTGGACCTCGTCAGACTCTACATGGGCTCCCCCAGATCGGCTGGATGTTTTGTTCCAAGGACCGTTTTTTCAGACTGGATTTTTAACTTGATTTTGCAACCTGGATCCTAAAGAATAGGGGCCTCCTCAAAGTTTAGAGTCTACCACCATTCGTCTTAGGAGTAGTTCCAATGGGGTAATGCAGGGAAATTTTATTCCTGGGAGTTCACCGATGAACGCATCCTGATGTTTCTCCAGTCAGGTGTGGATTAAGATGTAGACTTTAGCAACGTCAAAGGCCAGATCTCGACTGGTGATTACTTCCTTCTTTTTTTGGTGTAAGCCTTTGTTCAGGGTTTTTCTCGCATAGTTCCATCAGTGCAGTAACTTGTGACTATGTGTGGTCCCATCCCAATCCTGTTGGTTCTTTTTATTTTGTTTTTTTACTTTCTTTTTCCTAAACCAGGACATTATACTTCCTTTTCCTCTGTCCCGCTCTATCACATCTCAGGTAGAGTCTCCATTTTTTGAACGTAGTATGAAGTGTTCATGTTTATCTTTTTTGGCCATGTTTCTCCTTCTTGGCCATGTTTCTCCTTCAGCCTGACTCTGTCATCCCTGCCCCTTCTTACACCATTATAGGTAGCATAGGCAGCTTATCTTCAAGTCCATAGACTTAGGACAGGGTTCCACCTTTTCCTATCAGGGCACACGCCTCTTGATCAACACGTAATTCTTAGATATTTTAGCATCAGTCCTCTCTTTTTCTGAGAAGATACTGAGCCAGACCCTGTGTTTGGCTGAAGGTGGCCACTTATTTAATAGAAACCAGGAAATGTTTCTGCTATAACCCTAAAACCCTAAGGTAGGGAACTTCTATTCTTTAGCTAGTGGTAGATGCCTCTTCAGTCTTCTAGGTGCTACTTGGAACTTTGGAGGATCAAATCAGAAAGGAGCTCATAGACCATCTAAATCAAAGTTGCCAGATGGATATAAACAGACTATATCTTTGTTATTGAAGAAGGATCAAATGTTCCTCCTTCATATAAGGCACATTCTGTCAGATTTTGTAAAATAATGAAAGGAAAGGCGGGAGCCTCAGTGCAGCAAATCTGTAGAATGGCTATTGGTTACCTTCGTCTGTCTCGGTAATATGAAGGTTTTTATGCAATAAGACCTAGTGTTCAGCAGTAAAGTGCTACAGATAGTGGTCCCACCCTGGGGGTCGGCTTGTTTATTTATTGCTTCTCCTGTAAGGTTGCTGTCTTGGAAAATGATTGGGGAAATTCCCAGTTAGACTTACCGGTAACGGTATTTATGAGAATCTTCCAAGACAGCAAGTCAACTTCCCACCCTTAGTTGTGGTGATTGTATTTGGTGTTGGCTTTCCTTGTGCACTGGTGGAGATTGTCTACTTTAATCTCAACTGAGGGAGGTGGAAGGG